GTTTATGGGTTACCCAGTGATTAAATGAATCATTGAACAAGTTGTTGGTAGCACTAGATGAAAAGTCAGTGAATCTTCAGCGAGCTTTACGCCCCTTCCAAATTGTTTGTCAGGTGGTCGGATAGCTTCGGAAACACCCCATACACACACACACACACACACACACCACACACACACACACACACACACACACACACCTTTCAGGCGTCAGATAGGGGGTGTCTGTGTCTGTCCATTTCAAACCAATGAGCCGACATTCACACACACGTCACACCATGATTGTGCAGCTATGCAGAGGTGAGAGAGTGGGCTGGCGTTGTACATACGCTCTCCCTAGCTCTCTTTTTTTCATTTTTTACACAACATGTGACAACTATTTGTGGCACTTTTCATGTGGACAACCAAGTGCACCACTATAAATGTCTTCCAGGAGGGAAGTGTGAAAATGTATGCCATTATCCTCTTATGTTTTTTTTAAAAAAAGCTATCACCCTCCATAATCGCTTTTCACTCTGACTTCCTGTGTGGCTGTAAACACTTCATGTCAGTTTCAAAGGCATTTCATCACACTGACAGTTTGCCCCAGACCAAACAGTTAGACCAGCACTTACCCACGCCTCCAGCTCTAGTATAGGACATTCAGATCAGATAAATCTATTGGTTGCCAGTGCTATAGCTGCTACTCCAGTCATCAGTCTTTTGCTGCTTTGTTTCACAATAGTGTCAATGTTGTGCTAACCTCAGTGAGAGAATTTGTCTTTTTGTTTCAATCAACAATAAGTATGAGTCTTTCAGCTGCACATTTTTGCATGGTAGCTGTGAGTGAGCATGTCAGACCAGCTCTTGTGGGAGAAATAACAGAGGCAGGCTTTAGTGTGAATGCAGGGAGACTTAACCCTGGACTTTGTGTCTGTAGGAAAGATAGGTACCCTTGGGATTTAGAAAGGAATGTTCATCTTTTCTTCCTGAAAGTAGCTGCTGAACATTTTCATGATACAGCAGCAAAGCTAAGCTGTCGGATGATTTGTGAGCACACAAACACTGAGCAGTGTGTCCATGTGAAGAATGGGCCATTCGAAAGAATGATGGAGGCAGGGAGAGAGGTCCTGATGCATGACTATGTCAGTGTTTGCAGCAGACAGTGATTCCCTCTGTGCTTTGTCTCTCTCTCCTTTTGCTCATTCGCTTTCCCACTTTTCTCCTGCTCCCTTTCTCTCACAGTCATCTCAACTAACAGATGTGCTTTTGTTGGAAATTGAACTGTACAGTACAGTAGGTGTTTCTAATAGTGGGGCTCAATTAGCATTAATGTGTTTTTTTTTCTTGTTGCTCATTGCTGCCAACAATCTTCCACCCTCATCCCACTCTGGATGATGTGATGCTGGCCTCCTTTACTCACATCTCACACATGCTGTCCAAAATCAGTAATCGCCAATACACACACAGACACACACACACTCTTCCTATTATTTACTAAAATAGGCTAAGGTAGGTGATTATATGACTCCAGATTGTTTGCAACATTGTTAAGCTTTTAGAAAGGTCATAAAAATCATAATTTGTCCTGTAATGCAATTGCCCTTCAAAAGTCATTCTTTGGCAATTTAATTAGTCAGTAGGTTAAATTCAGCAAGGGATAAAGGGTTCACTTCAAATGTACAGTATAACATGTACAAAATGTCAGTGGTGAAAGACATGTTTAGATCCTTTACTTACGTAAAAGAAGTAGTAAACCAGTGTAAAAATACTTCATAACAACTAAAAGTCTTGCATTCAAAATATTCCTTGTCTAAAGTACATAAATAAACTAAAGTTTACCAAGTAACTGTCAAAGGTAAAAGTTTTTTAGAGAAATTCCCCCAATGAGTGTTATTATACAGGAATTTTAGTGTTGTAGTTGGTTGCTAAGATGAAGCTAAATTTAGCTTCTTTATGTGCTATGAGCTAATTCAATCTATAAAAATGCATCATATTCCATGAGCTCATCAATGGTTTTGTGTGTAAAATACTATTTTGCAAAATAAAGTACAATTAATTCTAACTGTGCAATCTAATTCTAAGTAATAACCATAATTCTTAAAAATTTCACACCAGCTTTGTTTTATCATTCATAGGAGATTATGGTTTGGATTGTTAACAGACTTTTTTCCTGTTGTGGTTTTACCCACCCAAAAATCTGATACTATCCAGACCGATAGTGGGTGAAGTTCATCACCTAGAACTGTGAGAAGACGCTGAAACTATGAGGGCCAAATATCTGTGGCTAAATGTGTTCTTGCCAACAAAAATGTTCTCGGTTCCAGTGCATCACATTCCTCCTTCAGCCACAGAGAATTGAAAACAGCCACAGATTCACTTATGGATCTTAAGTGTGCAGGAATTCACATACCTTAACTGATCCAAAGGCTTCAAGGGTTTTCCCAGGTATCTTCTTAGCAATTTATCCAAAGAGACTTTGAATATTTACAGACGCACACCTAACTAAAATCTGAATTTTGTCCAATTTGTGGATTAGAATAATATGTTTCATATGTCCCACCCCGCCGCATACTTTATTTATTTCACTTAGTGTTTCATCATAATGTGATAATATTTCCAAAACCCTCAGGCTTGTGCATTTCACACACAGTACAAGAGAACAAAGAAAGGAGGGAGAATGTCTTAACACCTTATCACGGGGCATTTCAGTGAACCTGTCATATGTGCCATATACATCTATGTGTGCACCAGTGTGTTATGATGGTTGCTGTAGCTCTTCCTCTTTATTTCCCACAGTGCTGCCCAAACCCCAGGTGAGCTACAAGACCACCTCTCCAGGTGTGATCGAGGCCAACTGCACCTGTGTGTCGCGTCCCCCAGCAGAGATTGTGTGGAACGTGGAGACAGATAACCGCACCATGGGCCCCCCTGTGACCACACAGCTCCCACAGGGCGACGGGACCACTCTGGTCATCAGTACACTGACCGTCCAGTCAGGGCTGCTGAAAGATGTGTCCGTCAAATGCTTGGTGCACCACAAAGGGCTTGAGTCACCGATTGCTGTATCCATGAACACTAAAAGTGAGTTGGTGTCAGTGAACCGTCACTTCAATGTGGATCTCCATTTCAAAATTTTGAATAGCATTGTGTCCTCATTTGTCCAGGCCTCATTACCTGCCTGCCTTACGACAAGCCTACCAAGAATACTAGAGATTGTTAGACTGTTTTTGACTGCCATGATTACAGAAGTCCTCATACTTGTAACAGTGATTTGGCTGAAAGATATAGTTCAGCATTTCAGCTTTCTCGACTTTCTGGCAAAGAGTCAGATGAGAAGATCAAAACCACTCTCATCTCTATCCAATAAAATACAGCCAGCAGCTGCTTAGCTGCAAAGACTGGAAACAAGGAGAAACAGCAAGCCTGGCCCTGTCCTAAGATCCACCAACCAGCACCTCTACAGCTCATTAATTAATATATTCAATCCAATTCAATTTTATTAGTATAGCACCAAATCATAACAAACATTATCTCAAGGTACTTTACAAGGTAAGATCAAGACCTTTCAGTGTTATAGACAGAAATGCAACAGTTCTCACAATGAGCAGCACTTGGCTTTATAAGGATTAAGATCTAATATGAATTAGTATGTTAGAGCTGGTTTTTGTGGCTATTGAGGTGCAGCGAGGTGGATTTGGTATCTTCAGACAGTTTCCCTCTTTTTTCAGTCTTTGTGCAAAATTGAGCTGAGTTGATACTGGCTAGCTTCATATCTACATATACACACACACTGACACGTATATACATAGAGCATATACTGTATAGGTTTTCATGCAGCTAATGGTGCAGGAGGAAATGTGATGTGTGTGACTGTTATGGCTTTATACTGCTGAGTTCACCTTCTTTTCATGGGTCAAGAGTGCACATTTTACAGAAATCAAATGGTATCACTCCAGATTATATCACAAATTCAATCAGTGACGGTACATAAAAGTAAAGCAGTGGTCAGACCAGCAGAGGCCAGAGCTTCTTATATCTTCAGTCTGACTTCTACAAGGCTTGTATTTACATAGTGTAGTTTATTTAAAAAATAAACATGTACCCAGATATGGACTGACAAAACTGCTAATCAGTTCTCTGTCTTTCTCCCTCCTAGTTGGGACGGCTCTCACCATCCTGATCTCAGTCACCACAGTAGCAGCTCTGTTGGTCATGTCCCTCTGCTTCTGCCTTTGGAAGTGTTTTTTGCGCAAAGAAGGTGAGTGTGTGATGCCCGTTGTATGTTTTCAGGTTCTCTCAGTGTCAAGGTTTATATGAAACACTGAGAGAAAACAAATCCTCTTGCCAAGTGTCACCCTTCAGGTCCATTCAGAAAGCGATTTGTAGGAAATAGTTGGGAGAATACTGTCCTCATTACTCAAAAATACAGAGAATTATTAAACACACAAACAGCTGTCCATGTTGTTTGTGTCCAAGAATATGGAGACATGGAGCCATATGGAGCAGTAAACACCAGAGCAGTAGTACTATATCTTTCCTGATGCTGACGTTGTTCTCCTGGCTCAACTGATTTCTACCCAGACCGCCACCATTCTAATGAACTCATGAAATCATTTGAAGGTTAATAAAATGCCATGTTTAGGGATCCCTCCCCGTCGCGGATTGTGGCAAACTGCCCAGGTGCAACAGAATCAATGAAAAGGAACAGTGGCCCGTAGGAATGTGCACCAACGCTAACTATAAACACTTGTTCTATTAATAAATAGAAGTCAGAAAGGCAATACTCAGAGGGTGGGAGTTGTGTCCTGTTTCATTTATGCCCTGAGATTTTATGTAGACACAATACTTGTATCTGCTGTTTTGTTTAACAGGCAGTAATAGCATGAGCTGACCTTAAAGTTGCACTAATCATGTTATATGTTTACATTAACAATGGATCAAATGACTATGCGTAAATTGAAAAAAAGGTCTGTGAAGAACCCACAGGTTATGGCCTGACTTTGCAGTTCCCCTCAGCTCTACAGAGCCTTTTAATCTCATTTAAAACATGCCAGCCATGTCAAAACTATGTTTTTTCTACTTGCACTCCATCTGCACTTTACTTGCACCTTATTAAGTTATTAAGTTGAAATATAACTGTATGCTCCAGACTCCATCACTGCAGATCATGCATTGTACAAGCACAGACAGCGGGAGTATCACAGTATACAGTATATTTCTAATTATTATTTTTCCATACCAGTATGAATCTAGCTACTGAATATGCGGCTGTGATGTCTCTATTTTCTCTAGGATCTTAATTGAAACGTTTTGATGGTTCCTTTGATGGTTACCAGCTTTGGCATTTTCTCACAGCTGCACCAAGTCAGATTTGAAATGACATTTTACAGTAAAATTAACTGTAAAGTGCTTCAAAATTTTAGAATGTAATCTTCAATGTTGTGTCATTGCTTCTGCTCTCTTCGTGCATTTCTTTTCAGTGGATTAATTTTTCAGACCAGACCAGAGCCTGAAAAGAAGAGGCAGTGCTTCTCAGAGCCAACCTTGCAGAACTGATTCCCTGCATCATCATCATCATCATCATCAATATCATCATCATCATCTTGGTACAAAGGGAAGATGTTCTGACACACCTCTATACAATCCTATTTATGAGCACCAACCGTAGGACATTCAACTCTGCTCTTCTGCCTCTACATCTGACTCTCATATAAAATCCAGGCTGTCCTCACATGAAGTCTGTGTGGAAATGTGTGACTGGATCATGTTTTTCTCTCTGGCTCTGTAATTGATTCAGTCGATAGCTACAGATTCCACAACGAACGGCAGAGTCACTGAAATTAAAGTACAGCGATTTTGTTTTTACAACATCTTTCATGTCTGTAAAATACTTTCCTCTGTTTGTCTCTGTCTTTTACCTGGTCCTTAGAATAACTCTGGTGTCATTTTATATTTTTCATACTCAACAAATCTCATGAAAAGACCAAAAAAGACATGAACATGAGCACTGTTGTTTAGTTTACATCAACCCTATAGGCACCATTGTGCTTCTGTAAATTCTCACTATCATACCAAATGTGTATTAATCTGTGGCTGAAAGTAGTCCCCAACAAATGCACCATTTACTGCTGTTTGAGTAGCATTTACTAAAAACTACAGTGCTCAGCTGTATTAGGAAATTATTTAGCTTTTTTAGATGTTGAACCCACATTTTCATGCCTTATTTTAAAAGGTTTGTGTCTCAGTTAGTTACATTAATTCCCACAGCAAACCAGTATTGTAGCAATGGACTAACTAATATATTTGGTACGTTCATGGGATTTGTGACTATAGTAAAAATATAGAATATTGCCAGCCTTATTTATTAAAGTAACACAGCTAACTGTCAATATGAGCTTCCGCTTAAGGGTTTTCTTGTCCTTGTACCTGTGTATTGTGAAAGCTGGGTGGGGTCATGGGTAGTCTTCATAAGATAAACTAAAATGACTGCATGCATATGTCTTGTTTGTATAATATCTATTGCAAACTTTTCTACATGTTTTGGCCGCTTGTGTGTGTGTGTGTGTGTGTGTGTGTGTGTGTGTGTGTGTGTGTGTGTGTGTGTGTGTGTGCGCGTGTGCGTGTGCGTGTGTGTGTGCATGTGTGTTTTGTGAGTGTGGAGAGATGTTAAATTCCATGGACAGATAGCTTGAATCAATTCCCAGAGGAAGCGATGCTGAAACCTTTTCGGTGCCTCTGAAAGGAATGTGTGTCTTGTTGCCAGTCTACATCATAGAGTCGGATGAGGTCCTGTGTGAACTCTGGTTGGGTTGTGTGGATTTTGAGGTGGGGTGGCTTACTGGTATATTATTTGGGGGCTGCAGGTAAAACAACCAGACAAGCCACTCTGCTCCTCTAAAACTATGCTTGAGCAAAACCCTAAAGTCCAGCTCGCATTTCTGTTGCTCTGGATCAAAGCGGCACCTACATCGCTAAAATATAATGTAATAATGCTTCTGGGATATATTATGTTTGTACATCTACATGCACTTACAAATGTAAGCTTCATCCTGAAATAGTCTTGCATATCAAAGCATAGGATTTGAATCTGTCATTTATTCACTTTATCAGCAGGAGAATGACATGCAGGTTATCAGACTTTAAGCTCAGTTAGTTTACACTACAATAACTCTGAAATATGTTTCAGATTACTTTTTGAATAAATGGAAATGTGTTGCAGCATTCAGTCCTGTATAGCGCAACTGTAGCCCAGAAAAAAGAGGAAAAGATGAAACAGTGCATTATGACCAACTATGTAAACTTGATATAATAGATACAACAAACAGAATAATAAAAATATAAAACATAACAAGTTTCTAAAGCTTGATCAATTTAAAATCTTGCCACTCTTCCAGCTTTTTCAGCTTAGCTTTGTACATTGGATTCATAAAGACATAAAATTCCTTTCTGGTGTGCCACACCTGCCTTCCAGATGCTCATTTTTTGAGGCCCTTTTCATCCTAAGCCAGGCGGGTTACGGTGCAAAAAAAAACACACACATGTTGTACACACACACAGCTTGCTGCACATTTCAGTTGTTTTCTGATGTATTCATACGCTCTGGGATAACATACAGTATTTATTAGTTCTGTGATATATATTTATGTTTGTGTATTCAACTCAGCACTTGCATGAATATATAACATAAATACAGTGCATATCAGCTTACAGCTAGAATTCATAACAGACAGCAGACTCCTGCTTAGCCTGTCAGATGGCTTTTAAGCTGCAGTGCTGTAGACTTAGGCCACTCGCTCAGGTGTAGTCAGCTACTTCCTCACTCAAAACACTTTTAGATGTTTCAAAGTCTGTTTGCATGTAGGTTAGAGCCAGCGGGTGTGAGTTGTGAGAGAGTATGTGGGTGTCCGCATGTGTTAAATGTTAAATTCCACGGTCAGAAAGTCTGAAATGCTGAAACCTTTTCCGTTCCCCTGAAAGGTATGCGTGTCTTACTGTGTGTGTGTATATTTTAGAGTCGGGCAAGTTCAAGTGTATAAGGGGGGTGAGTGTGCAGATCACACTGTGGTGAGGTGTTGAGGTGGGTTGGCTCAGTGGTTTTGTATGTGAATGCTACAAGACCCCCTGAAAGACAAATGATAAATTTCAACAAATTATTCTATTACTTGTGGGCTGCAGGTTAAATCCCAAGAACAGCCACTCTGGTCCATTAAAGTGTACTTAAGCAAAACATAAACCCTGCCTGCATATTTGTCTGTGGCTCTGGATCAAAGTGGCCACTACATAATGGTAAAGCTACTGATGACGTTTCACTTCACTTAGCTAAAATGAAACCTGTTAAATATGAATTCCCTCTCACTATGCATTAAAAAATGCCTCTCAGATTTCTTAAATTCGAATGGCATTGCTATCCCAAACATAAATCCCACCTAACATACCTCTGTGTAATAATTCTTTGTATATTTAGACAGGATTTTGGAACAGGAACACATTCAGCATTCAGCATCTCTGCACACCTTGTCAAATGTTTTTTAAACTGCAGTGCTGCAGACGGAGTCCCAACGCTCTCTGAGTGACCTCAGACTCGATCTAATGTCCTGTCTCGCTGCAACGCTAACGCTGCCTTCGCACATGCCTCCGCGCTCTCCAGCTCTCTGACGTCTGAACCGGAGCTTTTGTCCACCAGAGAAAAAAACACAAATACTGATGTGTGTGTGAGAGAGAAAAAGAGAGAGAGCGTGGCCTGTGACAACCAGACACTTGCTGCTTACATATAAAATATATAGTACAAGCTTCTTAACAGCAATGATTAGATAGCCTGCCATGGTTTATATGGCTGTGGTTCCCAACATAGGACATTACAACCATTAACGTTTTTTAAAATTAGTTTGTTTTTTGGCTGGACAGCAACAGCGGGGCCAGACCTATAATCGCTAATGTCGCTGAATGACTGACTGACTGACTGATCATAATTCCACCATTGGTCAGCCGAATGCGACGTGACCACGTTGCGGTTCGCTTAACCTGTTCATTGTGAACACAAAGCACAGGTTCGCTTCACCTTTTGACCCTGTATTTCAGCTCAAACAAATTGAACAGTCTGAAAATTTATTGATCACAACTCATGTCCACAATAAGGCCATAATTTGTGATGACAGGTTGCAGGTAGATATTGATTTCACAAGCCCAAAAGACTGGGAACCAGTAGTCTTCTGTGACATATTGTCTTTAATAAAATCTGAAGTTGGTTTTGGCAAATTTCTTGTTCCTCTTGTTCCTGTCCTTTCTTTGTTTCTGGTAGTTGACTTCTGGTGACCTTTAACTAGGCAATCCATCCTCAGTATGTAAACTATATGTGGTTGAGCCACATTATATAAAGACAATTGATTGAGGGTTGGCACGACAACTGCTACCACAAATGTTAATGTCAAAAAGTTTTCATCTGCCCTTTAACTTCCTGTATAAGAAAGCTAAACCACGTGTGATCAACAGGACAGGTATTACATTTCCGCCAGCAGCAGTGAAGAACACTGAGGTTTGTGTGTGGGACAGAAAATCTGTGAGATAATACACACTGGACTCTCATCTCACAGTCTCTCAGTTAGTTTTCTCTTACAAAGTACAGAATTATTCTTTCTTTAAAATATTCATATCTCAGCTGAAAGGAGTGCAAAAATAAATATTAAAGACACCACATCTGCTACGTCTCAAAGAACAAAGTGCTTGCACAGTCACAGATCAGCCAAGGATTATATTGAAATGCTGAAATTTCTGATCAGATGTAGATGCCTCCCAAACTTCAGTCTTCATATAACCAAATCAGACAGAAGAATGCACAGTAAGTATTGACTGAGTTTTTTTTTTTAATGCAAACCACCAAAACCTGGCCAACAGTGTAAAATAAGTCAAAAAAGTCACATAAATGAAATGACTAGGGGAAAATACAAAATAAAAAAAATGACAAGAAATGAAACAGAAAGAAGCATCAACTGGAATAAATGTGAGGTTGAGAGAACAAACAAAACATTGTTTCTTCTTTGCTGTAGCCAGGTTAATGTGAGATGACACACTGTGCATCTGCATGACCACAAGCCCCCTACATACGCCTCTTCTACAATGTGCCTGTTCCATGACACCACCATGTACTTGTCAACATTTTTCCAACCGTTCGTCTATGATAAATCAAAAATGTTCAGGAAACATTGACAGCGGTATATTTAGGGTTATTGTCTTGTTTAGTCACGGCATGCTGTTTTCTGGCAGGTATCCCAGGCTGTGTATGGTTGATGACAGCATACACTGCATAGTCTGACGCGTGACTTTTATCTCCTGTGTTTGCCAAAGGCTGGTTCCTATTGTTGGTCAGAGAAGGTGGTGATGGTGGTGTCCCTGCAGTGTTTGGAGAGTAGATGGCATTCAGAACAAAGTGGTCTTGCAGGACTGGTGTGGAAGGAGTGTTCCCCTTGGGGAGGTCAGGTATCATATGACTGGACCTTTCCTATGACACAAGAACAAGATTAGATAAACCAATAACATGCTCTTCCTTAACTCCATTATGACTCTTAAAAAATTGGATGAAAGGAATAGTTCAACATTTAGGGAACTACGTTTATTTGCTATCTTGCCAAGAGTTAGATGAGAAGATTCATACCACTCTTTTTTTAGGTGGCTCATATATCAATCTTCTCGCTCAGCAATGACACAAAATGTCAAACTATTCCTTCAAACTGACAAAACTGCATCACATTACCTGGCCCTTTGTTGGCTTGAATGTCAGTGTTTCTGTGAAGAAGACTAATAACAAATACTCCATTATTTTCAGCAGTAAAATCTACACATTTTGTTAAAAGTAATCCAAAATACTACTGTGAATACAATATTAATGTTCTTACTTTTCCAGCCATGAAAACTCAGCAGGGTTAACACTGTCATTGTGAAAACCAGAAGAACTATGGCAACACAGATATAGAAGTAGGGCAGCCAGGTCACAGCCTCACCATCAGCAGCACTCAGTGACACAACTACAAAAGAAGAAGAAGAACCAGATCAATAATCCTCGTCTGTATCAATTCTAATGTATCTCATGAATAAAGGTTCTTACCTGCAATGTTGTCAGTATCGTCAGTTGTTTCATCCCCCTGGTGCATGTCTACAAGGAATGAGAGATAGCAGATAGAATGAACACTTGAACTACATACTTGACATACATACATGTACAGCGTATTTTGGCACAAAAAAACTGCCTACCAGAAACTGAGATGTTGATGATATGACTGATTTCATGATATTTTCCTCTGAACTCACATCTGTACAGGCCATCATCATAAACGGTAATCCATTTGAAAGTTAAATACGAGATCAGTTCATTTTTAACGTGGTCGTCATCCTGTCTTATTTCTATATTCTCCGTTTTATTGATCCGTTCACAGCGGTTCGTGTCGAGTAGTTTACACCAGGTGATGTTTAGTGATTTTCCACAGTGTTTGACGGGACAGCTGACTGTCGCAGATTGCTGTGGGGCTCTTTTCAAGGTCGTGCCACTGCGAACCATCAGCTGAACACATGAAGGAGACAAGTCTGAAATGACAAAAACAAACCCAAACGTTGTCTTGTATCATTCACTTCAGATCAAACACCTTTATTTTGAAAAGAAGCTAACTTCAGGAATTGATGGAAGATAATGGAAAACTTTTTTCTCAGTGATATGGTCAATTCTGACAAAAACATTTTTTGTTTGATTGTTCCTTTAATCCAGAAAACGTTCCTAAATTATCTTATTTTGGAGTATCTCTACCTTTGTGTTACACCCATTACCTGGACTGTAATTCTTAACGCTTGCCTTTCAAAAAAATAAATATAAAATCTTAAAAAAGAGGAAATTGATATGTCACATGCCGAATTTATGAGCAACTCATCCTACTCTTTGTACTCCCCGTTGTCCAATAAACAGCAGTAAAGTTTGTGAAAGAGTAGGTACTTGGCTGATTTTTCTATAATCTGATGACATGACAGGACTTAAAAGCTCATCTTTCTTACTCTTTGTCAGCACTTTTCATCATCATCAGATGGCTCCAACACTGGATCCCAAAACGGCATTACAGCTCCGCAATATTTTACCATCATTTTTAAAACATATAATACAACCAGCTTCCAAGTCACACCCTTTGTTGTTGTTTTTCCCAGCAACAACAGCAATGTAAAAAATTATGTCAAATCTATTTTTAAAAATGACATAGTTTGTACAATTTTAAAATAAATGATAATATTAATAATTCCATTTCAATATCGGCACTGTTACCCCATTTTCATCATCTTTTCTGTCATGGCCTGGTAGTAATATTACTATACCCTGGAAATATTCATTATACTCAAGTTTAATTTATTCGTTATTACTCCTTGATTCCCTAAGCTTTTGTCTTCTTCCCTTGTACTTAGTTACAGGTGCATATTTCATTTCTAACTCTTATTTTAAATAATAACACTTCTTTTGACCAATGAATAGCAAGTCTATTCAAAATGTTCCCTAACGCTGTCTTGAAAGTCATATGACCAGATAAAAGTGTGTTTGGCTTACCTTCACCTCTTCCATAGACAGAGACAAATAAGAAAAATATCATCACACAGGTGTTTGACAGTTTAACCATAAAGCACAACATGTTCATGACCTGAAACTAAACAAATAATCTTAAACCGTAGCGACTCGGGGCTCACTTCACTTATGACAACCTCACCACTTCCTGTCTTCCCACACACATTCTAAGACCATTCGTCATGTGAGTATTTAAGTCACGTAAAAACTGTTTCCGATATGCATTGAAAATCGCACAATGCATGTTACCTAATGTAATTCATAGATGTCAAAACAGAGACACATAGATCTCAAGGTCAAGTATGCCCTGGTATCACCTTTGTAATGTGTACAGATTCACCATCTCAGCAAACAGCACAACCATATTGTCCTGAACTGGCTCAAGTGGACACGAGACCCAGCAGGAACTTGTGACATCATGGCTTCGAAGTCGAACTGTAGCCATAGGTGCATGTAATTCCCATGAGTGATGGAAAAGCAATCAAATCCATTATACATGGAAATATATTAAAGTTTTCCCACCTTATAGAGGTTACATGCAGTCTTGTAAACAGCTTACATTAGTCAGCAGTGTGCGCTGGAGGCTGCCTGAATGTTCTCATCATCTTTATAAAATAATAAGACGCTTGCTTGCTTCTCTTATCCAATCTGTCCAAACATCTCAAGTACAAGTCTGCCAGAGTGCAATGACAAGCAGCCACTGTGGCCTGGAGAAATAGTGCTAAACACAGGCCTACTTCTAAAACAACTAAATATACATAACAATCACTTGTTTTCCTCACAGTAAATTCACATCCAATGCATCATTTCGTGTATTCTCACTAGACTACAGATCATGTGTGTGGACACTGCACATACCAAGGGTGACTGTTTTTTGCTTTTTATTTCCTTCAGGGCAACCAGCAGATGGTATAAATTGACAGTCATTTTTCTGATGTACACTAACTGAGGCAAGGGCATAGGTTTGCACATGGACTGTAGGGACATGTCCCTACCAATATTTTGGGAGGACAGAATTGTCCCCACCAATATTTGAGTGAACTCACTGTTTGGAGTGAAGTCATATTAGATCATTCCTATGTGTCTTCAAAGAGGTAGCTTCTCCAACACGACCGATATATTTCAGGTATTTGATTGGCTGAAAGGTGGCTCACGTCATGTACAAATGTCAAACTTACTGCAGACACGGAGGAGGTGAGAGCGTATTAATGCGCTGATAACATTTAGTTATCAGTGTCAGTCCACACCTTGAGCATCCCTTTCCTTTATTGCCAACATTTTGTCCATGCCTACATGTTTTCTACTTTGTAGATATCATGCCACCAAAAAAGAGACATCAGGAGCTTTTTCATCATCCAGAGCATAATAATGGGTAGTAAACTAATTGGCACAGCCACTGATTTAAAATGAAAACCTGCAAGCTACCTAACATAGCCCAGCCTTACATAATTAGATTGTTAATACTGATGCATCACTGGATTGGATTAGCTGCATTTTACTGTGGTTTTAAATATGAAATCAAAGGGGGAAGGGGCAAGTGCAACACTGGGACCTAATGAATATAAACATGTCGATGTCGGATGCAAAAATATTGTTAGTTTCTTCTCTCTTTTCCATTAAGAAGTAATTTCCTAAAGTTTACTTTCTTTTAATCCTCCATCTGCTACCATTTATGGTTTTTATTTAACTATAAATACAGGTAAATACAGATGATATGTTAATAAACCATTCATGTTCACATCATTAAAAAGCCCTGTTTGTTTTGTAGGGGTTGTTGTGTCCCTACCAATGTTAAGTCCAAACCTACGCCCTTGAACTGAGGGCATATCCTGTGGTATGTGAATCACACCCAGACCTTTCCAACAGCGCCCTCCAGTGTATAACAAAGAGCTACCTGTTGCATATGAATGCATGGTTACATTCTGAATATACAAGCGAAGTTGTAAAATATCTCCAATTCAAAACATCTGATATTTGACTGCTGACATAATCGCTTGCAGTTCAGTAGATTTTCCTTATAGTGCGTCGCTTTTTTCAAACCTACCCAAACAGGTGTTACTCCACTGAGCATATTACAACCTATTTTTGATGACAGATTAGTCTGTTTTTTACTCCTGACAAAGACATGGTTTGTAAAGTAAACTGGACTTTCCACTGAAAGTGGAAAAAGGTCAGTGACTTCCTCATATTGCTAATCAAGAAAATTTGCACCATCATGCAAATGAGACAATACAGCAACAAAAGCAAACATTATAGTTAAAGATTAGCTCTCTGAACCTTGATCTTCTCACCCCCTGCAGTACGTCGCAGTGCAGATGTTTTGAGGTTTGAGGTACCCGCTCCTGATACTTCTGCCACCCAACCAATACAGTGAGAGAAAAGCATTGAAAATTTACATTTCAACTCTACAATGTGTCTTTCTAGCAGCAGCGTCTGAGCAGAATAAAGAGCAGTCTTCACTCACCAACAGTTCACATGAACTAACGCTGTAATGTATTTGAGGTTTACCCCTACAACAACACAAGTATATGCATTTGTGTATGTGCATGTGTGTGTGGGTGTGTGTGTGAGTGAGTGAGTGTTGCATTAGAAACCATCACACACAGGAAATCAGAATAGCAGTCTATTCTCTCTCTCTCTCTCTCTCTCTCTCTCTCTCTCTCTCTCTCTCTCTCTCTCTCTCTCTCTCTCTCTCTCTTTCTCTCACACACACAAACACAAACACACACACTCACACAGACACAGACACAGACACAGACATATGCTGTGGCCTGTGTGCACATCAGTGATATCAGAGTCTACTACAGTGTCAGGCGTACACTTGTTCTCAAGCAGCCGGACACTGGTACCTGCCACCTGCTGACACATACAGCGTGAACATCCAGATTCTGTGGCTTCATCATGGGAAACTGCACTTCAGGGTAAGTAATCATTCTTAGACACGCATAGTACACATACTTACAGACTTCAAAGTAATATTTCAGCATATGATTATTAGCCTACATTCAAAGGCTTCACTGAGACGGCTGCAGAAGGGCAGTGATTAGATCAGAAGAAAATGTGGGCAAGACCATTTAAAAAGACACTTCGTAAGATGGCAGTAGACACTTAAATAAAACAGTAGTGCATATTGGCTTTGTGGTGAGCAGTTACTGCATTTGCTTCATCAAGGAAATAGTGGTTAGTGGACAAGAATAGTAACAGCCAATGTCTTCCTCAGTAACAAGTCAGACAAAAAAAGAATTAGCATAAGCGTTGCCGTGTGCTACATTATGTATTTGTTTGAAAATAATCTGAGATGGTGACCTAGAAGCATCCAAAATCCCATGTCCTGTGGTGTTAGTTACTGAAATAGACAGTTGGGCATAGACAGATGTAGGTTGTAGACATACGCAAAGTGTTTCCTGTTCTAACACACTCTGTCATCTGTTAAGCTGTCAAGGAAACACTGCAGTGGAGCAAAAGCTACACATCTGAAATACAGTTTCCGATATTAGTTTATGTTTCATGGTATTTTATGATGTGAAAGTCATAATTACCAGCTAAATGGAAGTAGAATTAACATTTCCTGGGTTAGATTTATGCCACACTAGTGGATTTTATTATCCCGTGTATACGTTGATTTGAATGGGGTCTGACCATTTCAATTTGTTTTGTTGTCAGGATAAAGAAGAAAAGGAAAGGTAAAACTACATTTATCACAGTATGTGTAGTATTCAGCAGCTATGTTTGTTGCATTTATAAACTGGCATTTTCTCTCTCAGGGGACTCTTCATCAGATGGTGGATACGGGGCAGATAATAAGGTAGGCCAGCACCACACCACTGTTGAGTCTATTTTTGTTGAGCATAAATCTTCATAGTTATCAGTTGCAGCTTTTCATAGGATATGATGATGTTTCTTTATGATGGCCCAGTCAGAGGTGCTGCCTCATTAAATTTGCATACTTGGTGAGCACTGGTGTGAGGCCTCTGCTGTAAAAAAAAAAAAAAAAAAAAAAAAATGGTGAGGCTGTTTCTTTCATCCACAGGAAGTCATAGCCAGTAGCCACATCAAAAAGTGTGCAGTTGCAGTAGCGCTGTACGAAAAAAGCCAAATAAATTATTTTTGGCATACATGTTCAGGTCAGCAGAATTACCATCTCTCTCTCTCATGTTTTATGTCACCACAGCCTACTGAGGATGTAACATACGCCTCTATTGACCACGGTACTGCCAAAGGATCAAGAACAAGCAGAGCTCTACCTGATAATGACTGTGACTATGCCACAGTTAATGTCCCAGCAGCGCTTCAATCTGAACATGATTCTGAGTGCTCATCTAAAGAAGAATGTGCAGATGATTATGTACTTATGGGGTAAATATACACAAGAGGGAAATTTCAATCGGGCTATTGCAAGATGCAGGACTAGTAGATGATATCGTAAGCAGGAAAAATTGTCTAAAATTCTGTAATAGCGTGCAATAGTGCAAAGTTTCCAGTTGAACTTCTCAAAACTTGATCTTCAATGAAAAAACAGAGAAATTTAAAAAAAAAAAAACATCCAACCCCAAGATGTTTCCCTTCACTTGTAAGGGGACATCAAGTCTGCACACAACTGTGGTTTTCCTTTTTCCAGCAGAGAAACTTGTATCGCATTTGACCCCTTTAATGAAGAAACTCAACCTTGGGAGAATGTGAAACCTACAACATTAACTAAATATATGGAAGCAGTAAGTCAATGGAAACTGGGCCTTGTGATTGAGCTTAAAGACTTGAACATGCAAAAGGTTTTATCAGTTCATCTCCAAGAACAGCATCATCTCCGAATCAGCAAATCCAGTAGTGTCCGACATACAACTGCTTGCTACAGCATGACATGAATGAGTGAAATCTTAAAGCCTCTCTGAGTTGAAGTTTTATGTGACCTTGAAATGATTCTAAATGTATAAGTTTTGTGTTTAGAAAAATTAGTCAACAAAATTGATGCAGTCAGTGTGTGTGTGTGTGTGCATGTGAGTGTGCGCTAGTGAGAATTACTGCACAGATATACTACAAAAGGATATCTAAGGTTTAAGAATTTATATTGTTTATGTTTGATGCCTGAAACACCGAGACATTAGCACGTTATCTGGAAGTAATAAGTCAAAGAAAAATGTTTTGCCACTATGGCAAAAACATTTTTTAAACTTTCCAAGAGCACCAGCATCTCCAAATGCTGTTACTTTTTACAACATGACATCAGTGACTTAAGATTTTAAAGTCACTATGTGGATTTTTTAAATTATACTAGTTATGTAAAAAGAAAAAATTGACATCAAGATTGTTGCTTTCAGCTTTCAGGGTGTATGTGCTTAAGTAGAGGAATTTGTTTTCTACCACACAAAAGGAGCAACAACAGCCCTGTGACCCTAAAAACAGAAAGTGGAAGTGAAGAAGTCCAGTGACTTTGCAGTCATGCTGGCTAATACAAGGACATCTGCTGTCTCTTCATTATTTTCCACTGCAGATAAGAGTTTGATATTTATCATGGTCTATTTTTGTTGAAACAGAGTCATAGCTTTGCTCCACCTTTAATGTTAAGCTGTATCAGCCAGGCTTGACGAGCACTGCTTAAATGCCCAGACTAAAAATGTGGCACAAATGTAGTTCACACAATAAAACTAAAATTATGTGTGCAATTTGTGCCATTGTTACGTTATCATATTCATGATGGAAGAATATAATCTTTATGAAATTCCATAATGCATGCATTCTGTTTATTTTGCAGCATACTGCTCTTGAGAACTACTGCCACACCACCTCCATATACTACAAATACATATTTAAGTCTTGAGAAGTTGCATGTTTTATGTTTTGTATGTGCATGCGGAAAATACACACATTTTTGTGTAGGCCTGTATCTAACTACAGGGTTATTTATATGTTTGACTGGATACATGTCAAGTGGTGGAGTAGTGTACAATACTTTACTGTAAATTATCTTTGTTTCATTGTGGTATTATTGATCTTTATTACTGATTAAATGTACCACTTTTGTTCATCTTTCTGTTGCATCAATCAACTCAGTTTTAGAAAATATTTGAAAGAAGTCACAGCAATGATCTACTTGACTTTTAGTAAATAATTATATATAAATAATAAGTCATTCTTTCCTACATTTCAGAGAGAGGCAATTATATAATAGAATTATATATATACTGTAGAATGACAGCTACCTCTTTTCTGTTCAACAAAATTAATGAGGGTAAGACAGATTATAGTTGTTTCAGCCTTTGATTTAAGAGCATAGGACCCCAGACCCTCAAAAGGATAAACAGTATAGCTAATGAATGGATGGATACTATTAACATTATTCGGACATCTTAGCATGGACAGTGATATGGTGCATGATCATGATGATGGACTATATTCTGATCCACCAGTAGATGGCAGAAGACTCCCTTTTTCCAGTTTCCATTTCATATCCGCCTAACCCCTCTAGTAATCCTCCTTTTATTTGGATGGTTCAATGCGGATAATCCTCATTCAGATAAAATATGGTGAGCTATCGTTCAAATTGTTGCTGCTTGTCTACAAAGAATGTAAACGTCATCTTGCCATTTATCTTTTTTAAATTTTAACCATGGTGACAAACAATGTATTGTTAACAACTGACTGCTTTTCACACTTTGTCACGCTACTTTAACTTTTGACACGTGATCAGTACTGGAAAATTCAAATTCACTCTAATTAATTAACTTGTTCTTATGCACTATTTTTACAGTTCTCATTAATTCTATAGACCACAGTGGAAATCAAATCAATGTGTTTAGAAGTATTTTTAATATGTGTAATTACATAATTATACATCAACCCATAATATGAATACTTTACATAATGTTGTACTCATTATCTTGAAGTAAGTGTGTCACTGAATTACATGCATGTCTCTACAGCCCATGTATTTCATCAGCAACATCGAAAGTCTGTAGTTCTGTAGAGTAGAAATGTTGCATCTATCTGAAGAAGGCATTCTTTCCGCTTCAGCAGTTGCATTTGTAGTCATTAATAATGTTTCTGTGAGACCCACCTACAGAGTAGTGGGCTGCATGTATTGTGCATGGGAGCCAGTGTGTGACATTAGGTACATCCCCTGTTCCATCAGTCAAGTGTTTGTTAGGACAGAACTGAGAGGCTTCCCTTTCCTTATCAGAAGTCATCTCACTCCTCTCTACTATTTCACCAATTCTCAGTTTCACAGCCTCCAGTTTCTCAAAAAGACCTACAAGCATTTAAGTGTGTCCGTGTGATGCATGCGCAGGATTCATTGCGAACAAATCTGCAGCTCAGTTATAGATGGAGTTCACACGTTGAAGATAGCTGGCGTAGGGCTCCACCTCCTCCACATCCTCTATCTGAAAAAAAAGAGAAAAAAAAAGAGATAGATAGAAGTGTCATGAACGTGGCAATGTACAGTAACACACACTGAACTATAAAATGAAGAGGAAGTTGCAGAAAAAGTTCATACCGTTGGAGATTTTGATGGTGACGTGGCAGGCTGTTGGCATGGCCTGACAAAGGGTAGACACACAAACGAGCTCGGTGACTCAACAAAAGAGCTTGCAAATGGCTGTTGTCATTCGTTTTTTTATGAAATTAAACTTCTTACCTCAACAATGGCAGTTTCTTATGCGCAAAAAATGAGAATCCCAACACAAATATAGTGACCACAACAACAATAAGGATCAACAGCCAAAGAAAATGACCTGGAGTGGGAGAGAGAAGATTAAAGGTTTGTTTATAATCTAATGGTCATCAGCACTACATATGACATGTATTTACAAATAATTAATACCCCTACAACATAATGAATCAGCCTTTAACCAAAAAACACAATAAACTTTAAATACACCGATCAGCCACAATATTAAAACAGGTAACTGGTCGTAATGTTGTGGCTGATCGGTGTATTTTTTGACTGAAGTTATGAAGTTATGGAAAATGATTCAAACTACAACATAAAATTTTGAATCAAATTACTGGTGGTTCAGAATGGCCTAGGATATACACCCATCAGTTACAACATTAAAACCAGTTAATGTTGTGGCTGATTGGTGTAAACATCTGTACTTTTTCTCTAGTAGATTGACCTTTTGTGGGGTTTGGAATCAGAATCTGCGGCTCTTTCCAGAACCGGTGCCTGATAGCACAGGTCAGGTTCTTTGTATCCATGCCCTCTGCGAGCTCCAGACGACTCTCTACAGTACTAAATCCATCTGAGGTAGACTGTGTTTCCACAGTTGCTGAATTTTCCTCATGACTCCAGCTGATGTTGGCAGCAGGTTTCCCTCTTTCTGCTTTGCACACAGCTACCATCTTGTTTGCCCCTTGCTCTAGCCAGGCTGATATACTGGGAGGAACTGGAAAAGACAAAATAGAAGGAATAAGATTTTCCAAATAGGCTACAGCTTGCCTTATTAAAAGTTCAACCAAATCACAAAAAATTTACAATTACACCAACTACACCAAGTAGTTTTAATAGGTTCAACCTTTTTAGAATTTCACTATTTCTTACACAGAGTATAAAATATTTCCAGATGAAAACTGTCAGCAGTAAGGTTGATGAATTATCCTCAGTAACTGGGACATTGTCTCTTGAAAGGCATACTGCTATTAGGTATTATGCTATTAGGTTTTTCTAATTTACACTCGAGGCCTTTCAGAGTAACAGAAATGAATTTTCATTGTCCCCCATTATGTGGGAGAGAAGGTTCAGTGGAAGTCATTTCTAAATCTGAAACTATCCGCATTCATATACGTATGTTACTGGAAATAACCAGAATTTGCCGGGTTTTTTTTTTTTTTCATTTTTGTGTGATTTCAATGAACTGACCCTGTTTAGAAGTCACCCTTATTGATTATATGGTTCTTTGCTGTTATTTCTCCCTGTGAGTTGAAAAATAAATAGTCCTACCTATGATAGTTACATTGGTCCCATAAGCTTCCACTCCAGCTTTGAAAGCCTGCTCACATCTGTAGATCCCCACGTCATGAATTGAGAAGTTTGGGATGTGCAGGTAGGATTGAGATGTGGATGTGTTTCGGAGTGATTTGCCATCATTGCAGGAGTCATTCGAGTCTCCACCATTATCACTAATGGCTATCCTACACCATTTGTAGTTCAACTTTATCGTCCAGATAACATATATTGTCTCATTCCATGTCTTATCACTGCACTTCAGGTTAACATCACTCCCGATGTTGAAATCTAAATGTCTGGTAACTGAAAAAAAGGGAAAGCATAGTTGCATTATTTTTACACATAGTAATGCTGTGATTGTGCTGATTAAATGGTTTGGGTTTGCTCTATCATAAAACAATATACACAGTATGTATGTTCTTATATACATTTACAAACATGCAAAACTGAAAGAAAAACGCTGATTAAATTCTCTATGGGACATGGACATTCAAAGAAGAACTTAAAAATAAAATAAAACAAACTATAAATAGCATGCAACACAGATATGACTTTAAACTAAAACATATCACAGGATGAGGTATAAAATAAATCATACGGTTACTTTATGATGATTTGATTTGTCCCATGAGAAAAACTACTTGGCAACCATTTTTATTTTGGATTAAACATTTGATAAGTCTAAAATGATAATAAAATGTCATCTGAAATGAACCGAAAATTATAAACTGTGATCTTTCAAAAGAAATTATTACAAAGGATAACAATGCAAGGCTAACAAGGTCCATGTTTTCAAAGCAGTAATTTGGTATAGCCTCTTTTTTCTATTTCATAATGACATACCAAAATAAACAAGAAAATAATGACTGAACATTTCTACTTCAGAAGTAACCTGGTTCAAAGCATTTTTTTCATTCTTTCAAATAATTTCAGCTAAAAAAGTGCTTAATGTTTGAAATAAGGATTAATGAGGAAAGGGGATTTTTTTTTTCTTTTTTTTTTAAAAAAAAGCAAATTGTCATGTTCAACTTCCTGTGCCTTCACTCGACTTACTTGATGTTAATTATTTTAGTGGTGCAAATAGGTGGAGAGAAAAATAGGAAAATTAGTTTACCATTAGCTTTTAATTCATTAGGCGTGCTGGAGTTCACAGAGGTGCTTTGATTAGTACCTGAAAGAGATGGTAGTGAATGTAAGGAAAAAGTAAGTAAAATAGTGTCTTTTGTTTTCAGTCAGAAAGTAGCAGCTAGTGATTAAGAAGTGTTCAATCAGCAGAGCAACAATCATGGTGGTTTATCTGTTATTCATCATTTAGTTTAAATAGTTAGTTAGTCAGTTAGTTAGTTGAGCTGTTAAGCGGTGCTGTTAAAAAGATTAAATAAACAGTTGTGAGAGACACTGCTCTATTTCCTGTTATTGAAAAATTGTGAGGTTTGTTGTGCTTTTGTAAAACCAAAAACACTTGACTCTAGTAGTGAAATTTCTGACAATAAAACCTAAATTTATAAGACAGGCAAATGGTATTGTCATAATCTTGCATTTACCTCCCTTGCAGCTACAGAAGAACATGCTCATGACATTACCATCGTTATTTCAAAGATCTGAATTGGAAAGTTAAGGTTTCACAGGCTGATGTTTACTGAAATGTGTTATGGGGGTCTGAAACGTGTTGACATCTGACGGGGCTGAGTAAAACAGTGCGTGTGGTGGGACAGTAAAACCACAGTTCTCACACAGAAGTCTGTCTTTCATCTTTCTGAGACCCCCACAGTGGAGAAAAGCTGCATCATGTTACCCTACTCTGAAATCATGATTCACTTCAGAACAAAGTGGCAGCATGCTGCTTGTTATTTCAGAAAACATGGGGTTATTTTTTCATACATCTGCTATGGAACATTTTCCTCCCTTGTCAGCTTCTGCATTACCCCACCTCCCTGCATGTTCTTTCCACTGACTGTCTACACTGAGTCACACCACGATCATATTACCTACATGTCACAGATTACACAATAATGAAAGAAATTATTATGACAGCATGATATTAAGAGTTACATTACAGGTAACAGCAATACATTCCCGCAACATATTTACAAACGGTATAAAGTACCACAAATGACACGTTCATACAGTATAAAAATTGTGTAATAACATGTACAATGTTGTCTTACAGTGTATCTGTCAAGAGGTGAAGACAACTACGTACGAGGTTGTCTTTGTGGAGGGTATGTGCATCTCTAAAAAGCTACGTTTGCATCTAAAACCTGCATCTTATCAAGGCTAAAAAATATCAAGTATTCAACCATATGTGAGTAAAATATGTTAATATTCACACCTGGCTGCAGGCTCCATGCTTCAGACACCAAGAAGATGATAACGGCATAAATCCACATCATGTCTCTCATCTCCAGTTGTATTCAGGTTCGTCTGTTGAGTTGCTTCCACGGGGCCTCTCACACAAGTAAGAGAAGCATCAAGTCTAGTCTTTAAGTAAATCCTCAGTCCTGAGTTCTATCTGGAGTAATACCGAACAGAGTTGTTTGTCTCGTGCTTTTAAGCCATGTACCGTCCTTATGCAATTTCACTTTCTATCCTTATGCCCTTTAAGCTTGGCGTTTGAGTAGAGCAGATTCTCCACCTCATCCACACAAACTGAAAATCCTTGATACCTGTCATGCTAAATAAATGTACAGGACATGTGACTTACAAATCCCTCCCTCCTTTTTACTCTTCCCCCTCTCCAAACCGCTTTCCACTCAGACATCTGCCCCCCCCCACACAGGATGTGATCTGATAAGTCAAGACGCCAGTTTCCTTTCCTGCCAGTCACATGATCACACTCTTTCAAAGTAGCATGTGAACACTCCAAGCAAGGCAGCATTATAAAGCAGTTATAAACTGTGCACAGAGTAAAATTATGCTATTATCAAAACTATGCGCTCCATTCTTGTGTTAAGTATGCATTCACTTTGTCTGTCCAGTAGCCTCACCCTATATGGAAACCTTGCCACCTGGGGTTCACATAAGTAATTCAGTGTAAAACAACAGTCCTGCAATAAATCCTACATCCTTGAACATTATAATGTTCAGTTTTTGTTGAAACTCAGGCAGAGATATTGTACTGCATGAGAATGAAAGATATATTTCTAACATTTAGTCCACCTTTATTGATTTAATCAAGTGGACAAAATATTACACACACATTTTTGGATGACACAACAAAATGTAACAATACAGCGTTCAAAATTACCATGAAGTTGAACCAACACCTCTCTAAAACAGTTTTAAAAATTAATATTACAGCCTTCATGAGGGTAGAATTTGTTTCAGGGTTATTTTATGAGACCGATATAGTTTTAGCTACATTGTGACTAATGAACTTATCACTAAGTGCAAGTATTATGGATTTCAATCAAAATCTTTCATGCTCAGCAAGCTTAATTTGATGTAAGCTGTTGGCTGGGGGTTGGCATAACAGCCTTTAGCTGTTTAAGGGTTACACAATGCAGAGTTGCTTACATGTAGTTTTCAAGAAGTGTTAATGTTGGTGCAAGCAATATTACTAACACCATCCCCCGTTTGCACATCTGAGATTATATGTATATGTGGTTAAGATCTGCAAGGTCTATCAGGAGTTTGTGGTTACATTTTGAAATGAGACATCTTGATAATAACTATCCCATTAAAGACCACATAGAACAGATGAATGATATATGTTTTGGTTTTTCTTGTTCTATGTCAGTGTATGGTACAGAAAAACAGCAAGAATGGATACTTAACACTGATACAGAAAATCTTCTGGTTTAACACCCTGATTTATTCGCTCCTCCTCATAAAATCTGCTACAGCTAATGGTTTGATGATTTCAAAAACCAGTACTAACACTAATGTGAGGAAGTGATATCTGCTGTAATCTAGACTATAACCAGGCACAAGGCCGTTCTCCTTTTTCTGAGATCTAATATTAGACAGTGTTTGTTTAACATATAGGCAGCTGAAGTTCAGCTGACTGTGAGCTGGCACACTTCACACGAAGGAAGTAGCTTTGCCACTGAATCGCAAAGCCTTCCAGCTGTGAAGTAATGTTGCTTTGGTCAGCGGTCCTCAAATATGGGGTGGGTTTGATAGGCTATGGAAGTTAAGAAGGAGGAAACTACTCGCTGTGTCACGTTTGTGTGTGTAAGTGTACTTGTATGCCTATCTTTATGAGAACTAGTCTGAGTTTAGTTTCATATGTTGGGAGTGAGGACATTTTTACTGGTCCTCACTTTCTGATATCCCTTCAAAGGGCTGTTCAAGGGTTTAGACTTCATTTTAAGATTCATCTTAAAATCAGGGTGGGGTTAGGGTGTTAGGCATTTAGAAGTGATGTTTGAGGTTAGGGTAATGCATTATGTTAGTAAATGTCCTCACAAAGATAGAGGTACAAGTATGTGTGTGTGTCTGCTAATGTGTGCGTGGCAGTTTCCCCTTGATAACACCAACTTCCTGTTTATGTCAAAATCAACCTTTTAGCTACACAAAAATATGCTCTAAAGGGTACAGAAAAAAAATTATGCATATGAAGCAAATCAATAAATATGTCTTCATTAAAATTAATAATAGGCAGATAATTAAAAGAACAGAATATTCTGCACATTGGTCTAAAGTGCAAAGTCACTCTAGCCCACACATTTCAGAATTTGTCTGTAGTTGTTCAATTTTCAGGAAGGCTACTGTATGCTAAAATGTTGGGACATTCTGCAAGTGTAAGAGATGATGAACTAGATTTTCATTTATTTTTTATTACACAAGTGTTTAGCCTGCGCTTCACTTACATAATAATATACAAGGCACCAGAAATTCTCATTTGAAAAAAGGTTTGTACTGAACATTTAAAAAAAACGTGAGTGTTATAGATAACATAAAACTCATATATTTACGTTATGACCATTATTTTTAATAAGCTCAGCTATGTTTATAAGACTGTATTTTTTTCATCAGCTTGGTGTGAAGAATGGCTTTTAATACTACGATACCCATGAGCCACAGTCTCCGTTGCTATGGAGAAGAAACCAGTGAAAAGCACAAGAGCTTTTGCAGTTGAGAACAAAACATTACAATACATTTGCACAACAACCTAGAAACCGAAAATGACCTAATTTAAACAGTTTGATGTACTGTCAAGTTTCTATAAAGTACAAATTGTAGCTTCTGTTTGCCCTTATCGGAGCTCGTGACTGATGAACTGATGGTTCATATCGAAATGCTCCTTGGGAGTTGTAGTTGACCTCTCCTGGTGGGTCCCCTTGCGTTTTTTGGTACATAGACTTGTACCTTTGACTTTATCAAAGAACCTGACATTTTCTAACACAGCTACCCATCATTTGTTGAGTTTCAAACCCAGACAAGCCTTGGACGATCCAACTGATCCAACTGCCAGTCGCCTAACTTCTACGCAGAAAAAAAATCTAAATAACCCCTCCCACTCCCAAACGCCAAGTTTACTGTCTCCATGGTTACATTGCTAAACACCGCAGAGAGTACTGCGACAGAAATTCGTTGGGTAAAAGGTTTTAATTTTAATACGAAAATGAGCGTATCTGTCACTCGCACGATTCCTAAGAAAAATTATGCTGATAAAGTTGTTACGCGACAACGGGTTTATGACTACTTGTATGGTGAGTAAACTTAACTTAACGCTAGATAACTTTGGAAACGTGTTAGCTGACTTGGTTCACCTGAACTGAACGGGTATTCTTTTGCTACAGATCCAGTTTACACAGTGTCATCGGAGGTGGACCATGTCAAGGCCTATGCGTCTAAGGACCGACTCGTAAGTTGTGTACTCGATACTGGTTGTGTTTCTACAATTAGAAATATGTCCTCAGATAAAGTTTAGTAATAATTAGGTTAAAATCTACCAAGGTGCTCCAACTCTTTATTTAAAAGTGTAATTTAACATTAATTATTTTAGTACAAGTACTAAGTTAGAGACAACAGTCATTTTGGCTCAGTAACTCATAAATACAAGACATTATATTAGGTTAAATTGTATTGTTATTGCCATAAATTGTTTTGGTTAAGTGCTGTTGCTTGTAACTGCACACAGATTTGTTAAGACATGATAAGGTGTTGTCTTCAGTTGTTTACCATTCAAGATAAACCCATCTTAAAAACTTGATGCAGCATTTTATCCCAGAATAGTGTTGAGGCATTTTTAAGCTGACAAATGCCTTTATTAAATAATGTAGAGCATGTAGAGTTATGTTGTATTTTATAGACTTATGTTGCATTTTTTAAGTTATATTTTCTTTAACACTAATTTACCAACTTTCTGTTTACCTCTCCTCCAGTAGGTACAAGTTGTTCCCTGAAGTATCCTAAACTATGACACAGCTAATATTGTTTCTGAGTTGATAGTGTTTAAACATGACAACAAAGAAATGGACTGACAGTGAATTGCAGTTGCTAACAGGTATTTCTATTTCTCTTAATCAGCGAAGAGTGCCTGACTTTGGGTCTATGTTCAGTAGCCTGCCCCACCACCCACGGTATACTATTCAGCTGGACCCTGCAGACCCAGTGCCGGCATCTATTGATCGTCGCTGGCGAGGCCACACAGAGCAGCGCAAAGAGGCATTGCAGCAGCTGGCTGGGTAACACAAACAGACACCATTTTAAATTACTTGGTTTTATTAATTAAAAGTTAATATTTGTACTCATTACAAATATAAACTGTCTCATTTGGCATATTTATCATTTTGTGGCTATGATTCTTGATTATCTTCTTGACAGGGTTATTTCTAAAAGGGAGGAGTGCCATGTGACTGGAGTTGATCGCTGGAAATACTTTAAACGGTTTGATTAGCCAGCCTACAATCTGAAGCTGTGAATATGGTGGAATACAATCATAAATACATACATTATACTATGGTAGTTTACAAAAGACAACTGCCATGCTGCTCACATTTCAACTGTAAGTATTAAAATAGTCTCTAATATGGTCTTCCATTCTGTTTCCTTTAGCCCTCTAATTCCTGTTGCACAGCAGGTTCCCCCGGATGTGATTTTTGCTCTGCCAAAGTAAGTTCAACTGGCTCCTCACATTCATTTATTTTTCAGCTATTTCTGTTGTGCCCTTTTAACTGGGTGAGGATATACCCTCTCTTTTTGTCACTTCAGAGAAGACTTTGTAACGACTGGTGGAAAGAATGCTGAACAACAGCCCACTCACTTCACTGTGGGGGTCCAGACGGACTACAGGGAAAGTGAAACACAAACAGACCCATATAGCCCTGAGTTTGTGATACAACCTGGGACGACTCCCTCAGAGCTCCTGCAACTAGCCGCTTTGACTTGGGGTACAAAAGCAGCTGTTCAGATCTTCACTAGTTACAGACTATACTCTATGATTGTAACTATTAATAACCTTGTTAAAATCATGAATGTCCAACCTTCTACTAGTGCTCTCATGTCTACCTGTACCTACCAGATGAACAGTCTCTCTGTACCTTCACCTTTACTTACATTTAAACCCTCTGATAACAATTTCCCTCAGGTCGTGGTCTGCCTGCAGGCCTGGCAGAAGTGGAAATGATAGGGCGGGCACGTGCCAAGCAAGCTTGGGAGGCCAGCCTTCCTCCACTGGGTGACCTGAGTCAGCTTGACAAGAGGAGGCGTATGATGGAGGAGATGGAGGCCAAAGAGTGGGCTTTCAGAGAAGGAGAAATCCAGAAGTGAGTGGTAACGTACTACGCTAATCTGAAAAGACATAAATAGTGAAGTAAACCACAACCTGCCTAAAATGTTGTTGGTGCAGTGTTTGGTACATATTTACCTGTTTGCTCGTACCTCTTGGGGAAGTGGTATTATATCTTAAAAACCATCTGCCCTCTCATTTGCCATACAGCAAACTATAAAGTACTCAAACTTGTGTAGTGACTGTCATTAGACATTGTAGTTATCCTTAACTCTAATGAACCTTTTAGCATCTTCCAGCTCAGTGTTTTGGTATTCTAGCTGTTAGGGTTACTGTTTTGGTTCACTCTCCCCGCTCTCATCAGAATCATTTACTATACGCGCACTGTGAATCCTGTGTTCATAGCTTGTTTCCACTGCCCCCAAGTGGTAAAAGAATTAGTTACTAGAAGTTTAAGCAGAATGAATACATGCTGACACATGGATTTGAACAAGGTTTGAATAAAGTACAGCCAAGGAGGATATGTGCGATATATCCATTTCTTGACTTATCAAATAATCTTTGTGAACCTTTTCTTCCCCTTGATGTTCCTGAAAAAAACCTGCCCTTCTGCAATGCTTTGTTTCTGTGTGGGGTGGCCAGATTGCAAGAGACCCGTCTTGCTGTGCTGAAGGACCTACTGAGGCAGAGAGATGGGGCCCAGAAAGAAGTCACAAACGAGAGACTTAACCTAATATTTTCTAAGCACCAAAAAGACAAGGAGACCAAGCTACACAAGATCCACAATGACTACATCAGATGTAAGACAACCACTGCCTCTGCACTAACATAATATCCAATATAATAATTAGAAATGTATTATTCAATGGTTTGTTTCAACCCCTCTTATCCAATGTCTTTTGTTTTTCATTGTTATTTTTGTGTAGCACTGAGAAAACTGGAAGCTAAGAGGAGAAATGTGGAGGGGAAGCTAGAACATGGTCTTGTCAAAGACTATACAGAGTCTCAGAAATATGCCCCTCAGACCCACATGGGCGCATTCACCAGGAGTGCCTGCTACAATGAGTTAAAAACCCACTACTTAGACACATATGAAGGTCTGACTCTAAATACTTTTGGACAAATAGAATTTAACATGTTTCCATAACAGCGCCTCAGAGACAACAGTATCCTTTTAATTTTAAGATAGCTTTCTGTCACTCACAGGTTTGCAAGAGCTTGAGGCAGGACTCTCTGCCTCAGTCCTCAAGCCATGGTCGAAAAGACCCAAACCCAAAGTTAACATCATCAAGAGTATGATCCAGCCCCCTGCAAGCAGAGCAGTAGAACTGATGAAGAAATACAAGGTAAAGCAGGAAGAAATATTTTCATTAAGCATATCACTGAAGTTTTAAACACACAATTGTCTCTCCACAGGCCCTGAGGGAAGAGAATGATCAAGTGACAAAGAAGTCCCTGCGTTTTCTTGTCAAGAACGAGAAGCCTGTTCCTCGTCCTGTCACTCCCAGAGTGGAGGAGCCACCAGAGGTCAGCTAATGTCTCTGAGTATAATTGACACTGACCTTGTTCATCCTAAATGTATTAGAGATGGTATTTATTAATTCACTTATATGTCCCTCATTAGGGGGATGAGGAGATAGAGCTTGCAGTCATCCACTTGCAGAAACTACTGAGAGGAAGAAGTATCCAGTGCGAGGTCTGAATGTGTCCGTCTGTCATATACACGCACACACACAGAGACAGACCGGTGTGTGTGTGTGTGTGTGTGTGTGTGTGTGTGTGTGTGTGTGTGTGTGTGTGTGTGTGTGTGTGTGTGTTTACCTGCACATCTGTTATGCTTCAAAATGCCTCCAGAAATGTTTGCATGTGTTTCAAGTTGTGTATTCACTTCTGTCTGTGTTGTTGTACAGATGTTTAAAGGCAAGGAGAACTATCTGGAGCTTATCCACGAACTGAGGACTGTTCATGCCTTGCAGAGGGAGGAGCAGGAGCTACAGAAAGCTGAAAAAGGGCTTGTTATCACCCTGAAAAAACAGAGAGACAAACATAGACACAAGGTGAAACACACAGACACGTTCACATACAAAATTTTACAAAACATCACACAATATAAACTTACAATCTCTCTCCCCTCCCAGACCTCTCAAGAGGAGGCATCTCAGGCAAGAGTGGTAGGTGCTGAGCTTGAACATCTGTTCGACACCTTGTCAAAGGAGCTGATTCATCTCCAAGAAGAGCGCAGGATCCATGCCTTTACAATACTGGCTGAGAGAGACCGTCGCCTTCGAGAGGCTGAGGAGAGTGGAAGGAGACAGGTGGAGGAGCGCAGACGCAGAGAAGAAGATGAGATCTTTAGACAAGTATGTACATATTTTCTGCTATGAGTATGCAAAGGAAATTGTTATTAGAATAAAATGTGTGCATGGGTGGTGCAGATATTTTAATGATGACTATGTATGTGCACGTCCTTAACACTGTGTCACAGGTGGTGCAGGTACACCAGGAAACTGTGGATTTGTATTTAGAGGACATCATCTTGGGGACCTTGGAGCAGACAGCTGACCAGCAGGCTAGAGAGGAGATCCGCAGGAGGGCAAAGGAGGTCAATGACATCGCTTATGCCATGGAGGAAAGGTAATAGACACCTCAGTATGTCTGCTGATGCTTTCTATTCAGTGATTCAAACCCAAGAATAATAAACAAAAATCATTTGTATGTGTGTGTGTGTAAGTAGCCGGAACAATCTTCAGTCAGAAGAGATTGTGTCAGAGCTGGTGTACAGCTTCCTTATCCCAGAGGTAGAGAAGATCAGTGTCAGGCAAAGAGGTTTGGGAGGTTTTTCTGTTTCCACACATAGAATGCAACTGCACCACCTTCACAAATGTTTTCAAATAATAAAAAGAAACTAATAATACATTTTTTTTGTAAATTATATGCAAAATAGACAGTATTTGCAGCAACATTTAAAAATAGATTAAAAGGCACACAGTACTCACTGGTTTGACCTTATGATTTCTCTTTGCCAGTGCACACGAGGCAGCATAGACACTTGCAGGCAGCTCGTGGTATCATTCATGGGACTGCAGAACATTCTGGGATCTTTCCTAGTACTCTGGGGGTCTCACAGTTGACCCATCCCTCTGAAAGAGCCTCCAACCAAGCCCTTGAGGAGATGATCAGCGTAGTGGAGCAAGAGCAGAAGAAGGAAGCAAAGAAGCACCACCATCAAACTGAGTAAAGAACGGACAAAATATATTAAAAGATATATATGGTGTGAACTGCAGTATGTCTGTATTTGCAGTTTCATATTCATCATTGTGGGTTAATTATAGCCCTTTGACTATTACTTCTGTATTTGATCTCAAATGTAAAGTTTGTTCGCACGTTTGCCGTCCAATACAAGTTACATTTCCATCTGGGGACTCAGAGCTTGTTAGGTGCCCTGAAGTGACTTTCTGTCATTATCCTGCAGTCTAACACAACAATCCTGCAATAAACCCTGCCTTCATAAATTGTAATGTTCAATTTTTTATTTAACTACACGATCGTTTTAGAGGATGTAGTTTGTGGTGCTGTTGAACTGCTTTGGACAAAAGAGAGGGGTTTGACCATTAAAAGGCAGAAAGACTTCTAACAGCCAAAGGTGAGGCAAATCCCATCAAATTGTCCAAAATCTGCCTATCAACAGCTGATATCAGAAATGTTGTTCTTAGAAATGCATCGTAAAAAAAAATCTCACCATTTGCCGTTGTGGTAAATGTAGCTTGGAGCAGAGACAGGGCAGAGATTTCAACATTTCCGAAACATCCATTTGTCAGCACAGCACAGCACAGCACAGCACGGGTCAGAAGCTAACCCCGTATGAACCCATCTGCACTACCCACGTCATCGCTTGGGGGTGTTGAGGTCATGAGTGGTGCCAAGGTGAAAGATTGTAAACGGCGTGGGCGGTGCTGGACGTCTAACCCCGCCTTCCCGCGGGCTGCAGCGGGGAATGCATGTAGCAGCCAGTCCCGTATCAAACAACACGTCCAACAGAACAGGAAGAGCTAATGCGATACTCGTTCACGCCTGTTGAGCGTTGAGTGAATCCTAAAATCCACCGGGATTAACAGCGGTGAGGTGGAACCCTGTGGACTACATACAGTTGTTTTGACATCTGGAATCACCAAATCAGTGAGTTGAATGATCTCGATCATGGTTTGATTAAAACTCGACCTTTAACCAGGTAAAGGAGGAGGGCAAGGAAAGGCAGGTGTTTATATAAAAGGTTGACACAGAGTCTCTTACTTTTTTATTTTAACTTATTAAAATAAAAAAGTTATTAAAATTAAAATCAGTTTGCTGTGTTACAGACTTATACCTGCCTGCAAAATCAGAGGTATAAGGCAAAAAAAAGGGTTTTACAGGCTACTTTTTAATCCACGTTTTCAGACGTGGATGCACATTATGATCACATCACATTAAATTTATATTGACATTTTAAAATTTAGATTCATGAACACTGAGAGTACTCTTCTTTTTTCTGTTTTTATTTATTCATTTATTTTTTACATGAAACAAATTCCTCTAGGTCTCCCACTTAAGCTGCATTCAACAAGATTTACTGTCTTGAAGGTGTGAAATAATTCAAATTCTATGGCCATGTTCATGTTGCCATTATGTCATATTTCTATACTAGATTTAAGTGTTGGATAAAAGTCTAAAACTATCATTGACAAGCAGTGGAACAGCATCAGACAACTTCATGATGAAGCGTTACTGCAGGGGTGATGAGTCCTATAGAAAACTGCACTGTTCACTACTGCACCACTGCAGTTCCCAGGCACTCCAGAGAGCTTTGTGTTATTTAATACTACTTGATGGAGTTTGAAATGGTTCCTGTTGTGACCATTTAGCCTCAGGGGGCGGATAAGAATTAACGGCTTTTAATAGACTTAAAAGACACTGCACCTTTATTCAAGAATATGGTAGAGGAAATGGTTCAGCCACAATTTTGCTTTTTTTCCTCATATTTGAAGGCAAGATCATATGTCTTCTGTACATTAATTGTGATACAATAAAAACTTTTTGCAAGAACTGTTAAGCTTGGTCTCAGTGTTGTTTTGCTTGTAGTTATTAACACTAAAACCTCACTTCCTTCAAGCCCTGCCACTTCAGTGTTGCAATCAGTGTTGCACTTGAAATTACAGTAAGCTAGTGGTGTTAAATTTTCTAATGACCCATTTAGGTAAGCATGAGCAAGAAGCCCACTGGAGCAGAGACCATCTGTGAGGCACTCATGAGGCAAAATGAAGAGGATGAAGAGGAAACAGTGTCTGAAGATGAGGAGCCCAGAGCTTGCGGTGTGTGTGGAGATCAGGCCAAAGGTTACCACTTCAATGCCTTGACATGTGAAGGCTGCAAAGGCTTCTTCAGGTGAGGTTGTTTCATTCACCCTCTCTCGCTCTCTTCATCAGCTGCAGCTTTGCGTAATGGCGTCTGAATAGATACGAAAACAGAAAACTTTTTATGACACAGTACATCAAGTTCCTGCAGTCACGTAATAAACAGAGCAAAAAAATTTTAGGGGCCTGTCGTGTACTCCATGTCACACATAGTGACAAATCCAACCTTAACATGTCTGCAGTCATCAGAGGTCAACTCTATGACCTCAGTGAGTGCAACCTGGGTGTGAGTAAATTTTCCATAGTACACTAAAATAAAGTTGGAAGATAAACCACTGATATTATATTTTACATGATACAGTACAGGTCCCTACATCTCTTATAGCATTTCCTACTCTCTCTGCTTCAGCTGACCAGTCCGAAGCATCATATTACATGTGTATTTATACTGAGTATGAATTGAAAGGATTTATATCTTTGCATTTTCTTTTTACCATCATACATTTTATGTGATAGTTCTATGAGAAGTAAAGAGAACTGTGTGAAAAGAAGCAGAGACATTCAAGGTTTGTTGTGGAAATCTTAAAAAAGATAAAGACTTTAAAATCTTTGTGGTTTTTTATTCAACATAGCTTTTGCAAATGGGCTCAGCACTTATACAGAGATCAATGGTCCCTATAAAGTGAGAGCCTCAGAAAAAGACTATTCCAGTCTTTTGTACTACAGCAAACAAGGATGTGGGAGTATCCTCCTCTCGTTAGCTGGTAGCTAGTGACTTTAGGATGCACAAGCAGGTAGCTTTAAGTTATCAGGAGTCAAAACCTGATATGTGGGGCTAGAATGCAGACAGAGACCTACTCCTTTCCCATAGTCAATGACAGTTCAGCTCTAACTGTAACAGCTTATCAACTACAAAGAAGTTTGACTGAGGTTACATAAGAGCACACATATGGCAGATTAAATTGTCTAATTACAATAAGAAGACAAGTTACAAATACAATCACATGAAAATTTTCCACTACAAAGTTTTGACCACAGCGTCAGTGCTGTTGCAGTTTTAAAACACAGTTAACAGAAGTATATCTAGCAACAATGGAGAAAACTGTAACAAGATGTGATAAATCTAGTATCGGCTTTATGACAATACCAGATTATTGGAACTAGGAAACATTTCGAATATGAAGATTTACACAATGAGCAACATGTTTGAGAGTATTTCAGTCCATTAGAAAATCACAGTAATCCAAGTCTTACACAGGGAATCATTAGGTCACTAGAAGACAATAGGATATATAACGATACTTTTGAATTCAGTGTTCTTTTTTTTTTTTTTTTTAAACTGAAAATAACTGCTGCTGCTGGGTACATGGTTAATTAGCGCGGTGAGACTGAACCAGAAACTTCGCGCCATACTTGAACTGCCATAGTATTAATTAATTAATCATTAGCGTTGCCAATAGATTTCTCATTTACTCACCTATTCAGATGCACTGTAGCTTTGTGGTCAGGCAACATTTCTGACACAAACGACGGCCCCAATGTTTCGTTATCATCTGGTGTGGGAGAACACTTTTCATTCTGTGCTTTTGGTGTTGCATTCATTTTACTCAATTTCTCTCAGTGGCTCATGCAAGTAGTCCAAAGTAATGCTATGATGTAATGGGATTTCTAAGACTGATTTTGGTAAACTGTTACTAAGTGGATTCTTAAATAAATTCAGACGTGCCATAAAGAGGTCAACGCAGCTCCGCTGTCCATTCCTGAATAAATGCAGTATAACCAAAAACAACCGCCGGTCATGTCAAGCCTGTCGCCTCCGCAAATGCCAGGCCATAGGCATGCGCAAAGAAAGTAAGTAACAGCTAGACACAACAAATCATTCCTTTTCGTTTTAAGACAAATGTTTATTTTTGATTTCATGCTGTGCTGTAAGAAACTATGTAATGTTGTGAGGTGCTCATCATTCAATTATTACTATATATATCGCTTAATACTGTCAGACATAGTATAATAAACAAGACATTTATAGTGATAAAAAGACACCAAACATCTTGATCATGTGCATTAGGTAAAAGAGTAAAAAATAATGTTTTAAAATTGAGCATCTCAGACCTTCTTTGCTGTAGAAGGAAACCTCTTTAATTACCTCATGTTTGCTGTATTTCAGCATAATCCAGCATTAAAAGTGTAAATTAAAATGTCTTTGCAGGAGTAATTAAAAAATATAAAGCTAGATCTACTGAGGAATATGTACTTATGTATTTTTGTGTGCCTGTAGTGGTCATGTCTGAGAAGGAGGTATTGGAGAGGAGGATCCGAATCAAGAAAAAAAAGATGCTTGACGCCCCAATACAGCTCTCATCACAGCAGAAGGAAACCATTCAGGAGCTACTCTGTGGCCACCGCCGCACATTTGACTCAGCATTTTCCAGCTTCAGTGGCTTTAGGGTGTGTGAATGACTGCAAACATCTTTGAGGTGTTCATAATACTCATTGTCTTAACTTGTCTGACTGACTTTTTCTTTTTTCTTTTAGCCTATGGACAGAATCATCCTTTCTGTGAGTGAGTACAACCAGCCTACAAGGGAGCCCTTTAACCCCCTGACAAACTGCCCTACAAACATCTGCACTAAAACCAGTAAATCTGCCACAGGCCCCAGAACATCCTCATGTGCCAACTTCCTCTCCTCCTCCAGTTTTTGTGGTTCCTTTGAAAAACAAAAGAACCGAGAAGGAGAAGAGGTTACAAAAAACATTATTTTTACTGCTCTTCCACACGTGACTGACCTCACCACTTATATGATCCAGGACATCATCAGTTTCTCCAAAAGTCTACAGGACTTCAGGTAAACATGTGTGTCCCAGTGCATATTCGGATATGTCTCAGCAGGTATGTTTCTTTATCACTAACGTCTATTATCCGCTTACAGGTCTCTAACCATGGGGGATCAAATTGCCCTGTTGAAGGGGGCCACATTTGAAATTATGCAGATCCGCTTCAACATGGTGTTCAATGCTAAAGCAAGCATCTGGGAATGTGGCCATATTACATACTGCATAGATGACGCTGTACGAGGTGAGACTGACACAAACATGCCTTTATATTCAGTGGGATAGGCTCGGCTGTTTCTCCTGTACTGTGTGAAAATGTACAGATAGTTTCACACACACATACACACACACACATTATTAAAAAAAACAACACTTGGATACAAACAGGAACTACATGATATTCTTTGTTAATTTTATAATATTTCTAACCTCTTAGATCTGCATATAAACAGAAAATTCGTATTGAAACCTGTATTGATTAATGTTTTGGTCACTTGGGATGACATATAGCAAACTGTTGTCTATTAACACAGACACAGAGCAAGCATATCATTCATTTGGGGTTATGTACCTAGAAACCTGGTTAGTGTTAGTATAATATTCACCTCAGCCCTGTTTGTTTCTCCTTCTGAGGGAATTCTCTGGCTCTTTAGCACCACTATGTCTGTCTGCTGTTTGCTGCTGAGCAGGTAGTGTACAGAGGGTTCATGGTAGCTTTTTTGCAGAAAAAGCTACCTGCTGGAAACAAGCTTGGGTCGGGGGGAAATGATTCTCTGTGGTTTCTTCACTACAAGCCACTAATTTCACTCACAAGTGGTATTTTGATCCATTTTTTTAAGGAAAGAGCTGAAATCACATGGAGGCTCAAGTTTCACTGAATTTGTCAGTGTTTGTCATGTCCACGACACCTATTTTGTCGATTTTTGAAGTGATAAAAAGTAAAGAAGTAACATTAATTGTGGCACCTTCCCAAGTCAGACAGTGCAACCGTAATTATAATCAAGTCTAATTAATACAAAATACATTTAGTAATGGTTACCTGGCGTGGATTGGAAATAAAAAACAGTTGGATGGATAAGATTGTGAGACAAATGATCTGATGTCGATTAAAGAAGCAGTAACACAAAGGTAAACTATGTCCAGTATGTAAGGAATCAAGCTTACAGCTTGACAGTATGTGAAAGTAACCTAAACAAAAGCATCCTCAGACATGTGGAGCACCTCTGATTTACAGATGTAACTCATCTGAGCAAAAAGCAACGCCTGCACATTGACATTTCAACTCCAGCATGATCTTTGTCAAAAAGAGACTTTTTTTTGAGATCATGGAGTCACTGCGGAGGCGTTTCTCATCTCACTTGTGTTGGTTTCCATTTGCCTTGCAGAATTTAGGTTAAATGTGAAGATTATTAACACTAACATAAATGCAAATTTCATGATTTTTTCACGATATAGCAACATTTTATTTGTGAGCAGTCAGACGTGATAAGGCTTGTGTGCACTTCTCTCGTACCTCTTATCATCGCAAGTCTTCGCATGTAACATGACTCCTGGATGAACATTCGCCAGAATGTTGTCAAACTGGTGTTGTCCGCTCCTTTTCTAAAGATTAAACAAAAAGCAGTTGGCATTCATTCATTGTCCTCCAGCCTTTAGCTGGCAGACTGTCTGCAATTATTGATATGAAGGAAACAATGATTTTGTCTATATTGTTCACCCCTTAAAGTTAAATATCTTGAAATTCTCAAAGAAAAGCCTGTATTCACATAAAAGTTGAGGCTGCAGACTGGTATGTATGAATGGTCTACACATAATTATAAAATAAGGCCTGGAAGAAAGAAAGAAAAATGACCTGTAATGGCTGTAATGGTATTTTAGCACAACGTACAACAATGCCAGAATTGCTGTTCTCACTTGTTATTAATTTAACCTGATTTCAAATTTCCTGTTTCACAATAAAAGCTTTGCTGTCCTGTAAATGTCCTCTGCTCTTCTGTGTTTTGTAGCGGGTTTCCAGCCGCTCCTCCTGGAGCCTCTGTTCAAATTCCACCACACACTACGCACACTGGGCCTGCAAGAGGAAGAGTATGTTCTTATGCAAGCCATGTCCCTGTTTTCTCCAGGTAGCAGCATCAGTTCATCCCAGTCCTATCTAATCAATGATTTATGAACCCTGTAAATATTTTAAACTTCAGAAACAGCCGAGCATTAAAAAATGTATTTTCAGACGTCCTCAGGTTCAAGTTCCTTTTGGATTAGCAGAGATTTGTTATTTAGTAAATCTTATGTTATTCGACCTATCAGATCGTCCAGGTGTGCAGCAACACAGTGTGATTGATGAGCTTCAGGAAAACTTGGCACTGACACTAAAAACCTGGATTGACTGCAAGAGAACAGGCCCAGAGAAACAGTGAGTGAAATACAAAATGCCACTCGTAGTCAGCTCACTCAGAAACCTTTCACATACTGATCTGCCTTTGTTTCCTGTGTTACTTCAGTTTGCTGTACCCCAAAGTGGTGGCCTGTCTTACAGAAATGAGAACAATGACTGAGGAGTACAGTAAACAGGTTCTGCAGATCCAGGACATCCAGCCGGACGACATCTCTCCCCTTATATTGGAGGTGGTCAGTAGAAACCCCTGTGATGACTTCTAAGACAGACACCTACTGTACATGGACAGCTAAAGCACTCTGGGTCCACCTCTGTTATTTAATAATGGAGACCCCAAACTGAAAACCAACTGAATGTGCTCCTTGATTTAAAGGGAAGTATTCTGTTGTGTAAAATACTAAAGAACACATTTCTGTCATTAAGCTTTGAACGCAAAAAATCACAAACACATGAAGATGCGTGTTCATGTCATCCGTCCTCTGCACACAACCTGCAGGTCAAAGAAACCATGAGTGAAGCAGCATTAACTTTTACAAAGTTTGTTTAAACTGGTTACAGTACTGTTGGATTGTGGCGAATTTGTCACTTTTGTGCTATTTGTTTAACTTACACTAAAAACATATTGTGGGTGCATGAATGAATGTCGACTTCAAGTTGGGAGGTTTAATGTTTTTTTTGTCACACAGAATTGTCTGTAAAGTGTGTTATTTTCTCAGAATGAAAAAGGGCTGCAGTTGCAAAGACAGTCTTTGCTTTTTACAGTTGTTACCTCAGTTTGTGTTTAGTTTTGTGTTTTGATCATGTAAAACAAAAGTGCTATACACTTATTTTAAATAAAACGGACCAGAAGTGCTCCTGAGATTGAAGTGAATGATGGTGTTTCCATGGTCATTGGCAGCAAGGAAAACAGTGCCCCCCTGTGGTTACACTAATACAAAGGATAACTCATTAAATAAGAGACTAGTCTGTTGCAAAGAGCCAGCTGGTGGGTGTAAAACTTTTAAGAATGGTCTATCAGTCTAAACATTAGGAGGCTTTCTATAACGTCATACAGCCCACTGGCCCATGTATGGGCCCAGTAGAAGGTTCTTAACCATGGAGTAAATGCTTAAACATTTGTCAATACATACTTGCTGTACCTCATTAAATCGGTTAGAGTCTCTAGAATTCAAATAATCGGTTCATTTTGCGCCAACCATAAGCACATAAATATGATTTATTAATATCTGACAGCACTTTGTAACAGCTGAGCATGGTGACTACTTACCGTTTAGATGTGTAGAAGTCCTTCTCCATTCCTCCACTATTTGTATTCCTTTAGTCCATAAGGGTCCACAGATCGCAAAAATCAAAAGGGTTCCTTATAAAAAGTATTCCAAATTATGAATAGCTTCATGAGAAGTCGAAAGCAGACGACCGAGCGATTTGTATCAGCTGATCTTCCCTCACTTCTCCACTCTCTCTGTCCAGGTGCATCTGTGGCTTTGTTAGCGGGTCTGCTACATCCATGTTCTGCTATTGTTTGTTAACTTTCTGGCTACAAAATGGAAAGATCCAATCAGATTTCACTCCAGGGGGGTCTGGGGAAGACAAAAAGCTTAACTTAGCCTAAGAAGTAATGAGGTGTTCTCCCTGTTGGAAAAAAGCCTGTTTTTTTCCACAGCTTTTCTGAATGAGGCTAGCTTGTAGATAGACGTCTCCCCTGACCAATCAGAGCAAACTAAGGGGGGTGGGCACTTCAAAGAGAAGGCCAATAGCTTGTGAGAGGTGTGGAAACAGCATGAGAGCCTGCAGGCTGAACTGTATCAGAGACAATGGTCAGCTCTGTTTTGAATGGTTCCAAAAGGTTTCTTATACATGGAAATCCTTCAGTATGTTTTCTATTATTTCATATTTAAGAGTTAAAGCACATTTCTCCCAGTTTTCCTTTTAGAGAGGTTTATGGGCGCCAGTGAAAAAATGAACTATAAAGGCCTAAACTATTAGGCCTAGAGGCCTTGAAGCATCACAGATTTGACAAGATGTATTAAGTATTGTGGAGCTTTCTCTTTGTTCTTTTATAAAGTTGATCCTGTTTTTAGTTATATAATGTGACTTCTTTACAGGCAAGGACTGAAAAATACTACAAAATACCATGTATGAGCTGATATAATTTTAGGTTGGGTTGTAGGCACATGTAAAACAAGCACATCTTCATAAACTACAATACGTTACCTTTCAAATGAGGTCTCATAAATGCATTTTGGCCTTACAGTTCTTCTGAAATAAGCTTATTACGTTTACATATGCAAATTGATGCAAATTGGGTTTAAAACAGATTGTCTCTAAGAGGATAAAGACAATAAATATAACTTTTTGTAAAGTTTAATAAACATGATTCTTCAGGGCAGGCCACAGTGACATGTTGATAGTTTTGTAAACTGCTAAAAGAGCAAACAATGCCAATTAGTATATAGTACATACTGTAAAAAAAAGAAAAAAAAAAAAAAAAAAAAAAAAAAAAAAAAAAAAAAAAAAAAAAAAAAAAAAAAAAAAAAAAAAAAGTATAATTAGCAGGTCTCCAGGGGTGATGTGTCAGAGGTTGTGTTTTATATCTAAGAATAAGCACAAAACTACATCATTCTTAAAAATGTTGCATTTTGCAACCAAAATTGTACTGAGTGGCTTCAGGCACATTGGCTCTGACAGGAAATTTGCTTTACAAAGGTAATTTAATTGGCTTTTATAAAGAGACAAAAGCACACTCACTAAAAGAAGGTGTAGCAGACAAAGAGTTTTATCATTTCCAGGCTATCCTACTCTTTATTTAATGCAAATTACAGTACCAGGGAACTATTCCTCAGAGCACGCAGAGGGAGTATTTACAGAGGCGCACATTTAGCATACCTTCACAGAACAAAAGAAAAACAAAAAACAAATGAAATAAAAATTTCAGTCACAAATGGAGGCATTCAAGTAGTAGTACTGTTATACAGGATGTTTTTGTAGTATTTTCTATGATTTTTCTTTTCTTTAACCCCAGTTAAACCCAGTTAGCATATTAAACTAGTATACATGCTAGTATAATATACTAGTACGTATACACGCTTGTCTTCTTTTTTGGTAACTTTTGTGGTGTTTTTATTGAACTGGAGTTAGGGGTAGGGTGAAGTGGTCAGACTTTCTGGTGGAGGGTAGCAAGACGTTCATGAATGCAAAATTACAGCAAGCAGGAGACAGGAGAAAGGCTACATGACTCGACCCCTTTAGGTGCTACTGAATTCCCCCCGAAATATGCAGACAGGAAGGAGAAACAAGCAAGAGGACAGAGAAACAACAAAATATCCAGAGAGAAGAAGAAGAAGAGAGTCAGAATACATTATTGCCTCTGAGGATGGCTCATCACAACTACATCATAGTTTGGCTTTGGTAACAGAACCAACACTGTGAGTAATACAGAAACTGTACTGTATTGTATATATACAGTATATGAGGCCTCTTTTTTAACCCCTGCTGCCATCCACACCACCCCTCCCACCCCGCCACCCACTTCATGCCCGGGAGTCCGTGCCAGGACTGTGGTATACATGTTTGTGCGTGCATTTGTGTGTCCAAGATAAAACATCTATTAAAATAAACACTTGTCTAGTTTATCTTCAGTTAAGGAAAATATCCTTACAATTAACAATGTCTGTATATTACATTAAGTGTGCAATGAAAAAGGGAAAGAGGTGCAAGTGGAGGGGGATTGAAAATCAAGTGGAAGTGCGTGCATGTGCTTGCGTGCGTGTGTGTTTGTGTGTTTGTGTGTGTGAGTGTGTTGCAGGATAGCAGGACATTCAACAGCACCAAAGGGAGAGTCACGATATAAGGGTAGATGGGTGGGTGGGTGGGATTGGGTGCATGGCTGTGGGGTCTGGGATGGGTGGGGGTGGGGGGTGGGAACAAGGTGAAGGTGTATGAAAGCAAAGGCACTCCAAACTATAGTTACACTATACATGACTAGTTCTTGTTACAATAATACAGCTGTCATCTACTGTACTGTACAGGTAAGATTGAACATATGGCTGGATAAAGCTGATCATTATCATCATCTACAATATCCATAAACAACATCAGTTTTGCCCTGATTCTGTTTTTTTTTTGTTTTTTTAATCTTTTTTTATTTCTTTCCCTACCCTTTGTCATCTTTGTTTTTGCTCATAAACAGTACATGGGTCTGCATATATACATACCTTGAACACAACATGGAAAAAATAATCAACATAACATAAAAAACAACATACAAGTCATACAAGTCAGAATTTTGGTGAGAGCATTTATACTGTATATACAAATTCTGCTTTTTTTCTTTTGTTTTCTTTTCTTTAAAATGTAGTGAGTATTCTCTGTAAATAAGACGCTTCGACAGACTGTACCAAGTGGCTCTATGTGCGGTAGGTGGAGGAGAGAGAACGCTAGGCTAACACTTCAGTCAGTGGTCACAACACGTGAGGAAGTCAGTGGTGAGCTGAGGACCACCGCTGAGACTTCTCAGAGAGTCGAGGAAAGGAAAGTGTTCAGAAACATCTTGAATTCTTCACAGAGACAGAGAGAGAGAGGAAGATGTTTGTCTAGACGCTGCACTGTCACAGAAACACTGTTACAGACAGAGTCGGTACAAAGACAGGGAATAGAGCAGTGCCCTAAATCCATCTACAGCCTTAATACAGACAACACTGGAGAACAGGGAAGTGACTGCTGGAATCTAACCACACTCCAGCAACAAACAAAAGACAAAAAAAAAACAAAAACACCACCATATCTAAATCTATTGTCTTTAGGCAGCAGCAAATATTGCCACTGCTCTGCCAGATATGAGCTCACCATAAATGATTTCTGAACCATTGTAGTTAATATACATATATCTATATATACTTTTTATACATAAGGAAAAGTAATATATAAACTGTGTATGTATGCATGTTTGTTTTGTATTGTATGTATATATTATACAAGCACACAGGACCAGATACATGTCACATCCATCGCACATGGCAATCCAAAAAACATCTGCCCTGGAGTACAAAACAAAATTAAAAACAAGGTCGAGTAAAACAGCTTGCTAACCATTTAAAAACAACCCCAGGCAAAGAAAAAAAAAAACAAAACAAAAATAAAAACAACCTGTCCAAACGTTATCCCCGCAAGTGGACTGCTTCTTTCCACATACATCAGGATCGTCATGCATCCATGTGTGTGAGGGATGTGTGTGTGTGTGAGAGTGTGTGCTTCATGAGTGTGTCTGTGTGTATACGCGTGCGTGAGCCTCATGCCTTGTCTGCAGAAGTGGAGGTGAGAAGTGAGAGGGCGGTGAACCCCCAGGTGATCCTAACCATACTCAGGCCATGCACTACAGAAGGAACCAAGGGGGGTGGGGTGGGGTCGGGTGAGGGGGCGGGGTGGGCCAGGGGACATAGGATGAGGATGCAGAAACATGGAACGATGCACGGGAGGACAACAAGAGTTGGGGAGAGGGCCAAGGGGAAACAGCTTAGGACTTTTTTCTACAGATTGTCCTCTTACAAACATTAGCAGGCTAGCATTGTGTATACATGTACAGTGTACTTTTATCAATAGTACAGTCGACAACACCTTTGGCCCTGCGCATTGCTTCCCCGCTGAAAGAGCACGGAGAGACGTCTTTGATGGAGGATGGAGTAGAGTTCAAACAGCTGGAGGAGGGGCCAGTCGGGGATAAAAGAGGCAGAAAAGGGATGCTTGGTTTGTGGTCGTGGTCACGTAGGGCTGTTGTCTAGCTGTTGAACCCGGACTGCGTCAGCATCGCTCCGCTGCCGTCAGGGAGGAGAGCAGGGCAGAGCAGAGCTGAGCAGAGCTCACCCCCTGGCCGGGGCAATGGAGAGGCCGTGGGCTGGGGCTGAGACTGGGGCGGGGCGGGTGGTCTGTGGGCTCAGGAGGTGGAGTTAGAGGCCGAGGCAGAGGCGGTGGTGGTGCTGGGACCTCGCTCTGTGCTGCTCCCGTCTATGGACAGGAAGAGGAGATGATATTGAGATGATATTTGTGTTAGGAGCATAAAGTAAAAGTATGTGTTTTCATTAGTAGCTTTACAGCACTGGGTAAATGTACCACTGCAGTGAGCTCAGTCACAGGGTGTACTGAGCAGCTCCCACGTGTAAATATGTGAAACTGAGCCAGTATGTCAGATCAGTCCAATCTTTCTGCTCAGAGCAAAAACTTGCATGGATGCATTTAGTGCTCACAATGCTTTTCAGTGTGGTGTTAAAATACGTAATCATTAAGTCTAATTTCAAATCTTCTCAACTTAAAATTAAATATAATATAAGAAACACTTTGTCATGTTTGCAGCAACAGAGAAAACAGAGCGGCTGGTGGGGGAAGCGTTGCTCTAACCTGTGGTGGCAGAGGCGTTGGTTGGGGTAGAGGCGGCGGCCTGGCTGCGAGCGTGGGCAGGGATGAGTATGGAGGCCAAAGAGGGATTACTGGATAACTCTGAAAGAGAAAGAATGAGATATGTTGTTGTATCATGTTTTTACAAAGCTACCTGTGACTCCTGGATAACAGACACATAAGAGTTACAGGTAACAAGTAGGATATTAAAAGGCTGGTATAAGCTAGTTATCACACAACATGTCAACACCTATTGACAGAAGAAGGCTGAGGCAAACCGCAGAACCTCAGCCATTAGTGTTTACCTCAACCCAACAAGGATCAGCTCTGATCATTTTTTTGTTTTCATTTTTTGAGGATACAGAGACACTGATAGGAGTAACACATTCACTGTGTCTCTGTTTTATTTTGTTTTTATAAAAATCATTTAGATTCTTCTGGGGTTCGTGAGTGAAGCTGTGAAGTAAAATGTACAGTAAAGACATTAGAATCAGACTGGGCGGAGGGCTTCCCATAGACAACCACTCTTATTTAGCCCTAAGAACGATTTGAGCTAGATGCAGACCTCCAAACCAACACTATCCTGAATTTTAATAATTGATTTCAATTATATTTACATTGCAAAAATGTCACCATATGGTATTGTTTTCTTCCTCCACTAGAGTACATGTTAATGGATCTGTTTTGAGTGAGCGTACCCTGGGTGGTGAAGTTGAAGAGGGAGGGCTTCTCTCTCCCGTTGGGCAGTTTGACGTTGGGGTCGCGCAGCTCGTCAAAGAAGGAGTGTGCACAGGCCTCTAGAGGGGTGAGGCGGGCCGTGGGCGTGTACTCCAGCAGGCGGGAGCACAGGGCGATGGCCTCCGGGGGCGTGCGCGGCCGGAACACCTGAACGCCAATTATACACGAAGTGAGACGGAGTCAATGGAGTCTGTTCCACAGTGTTGTCAAGACATTCCAGTATCGCTGACACATGCACACACACACGCACGCACGCACGCACGCACGCACACATGCACACACGCACACACACGCGCAAACACACACACAGAACTCAACACAGAATTTTAAGAAGCTTTTATGAAGCTCAGTCACATGCACAACAGTTTGTATGAAGGGGTGTGGATGAATCAATGAATGTATTTGATTATTGCAGCAGTGAACAGTAGTAATCTGAATACAGCTGCAGAGAGTGACAACAGCAGGGTGTCTGAGAGACCAACAGGTGGCCCTGCTACTGCCTGCTGATTGGATGACTCTTATTAGACTGCTGAGGGGAAGTCAGCCTGGAAAACTAATGGGACACTTTGTCATTATCAGAGTAGGGTCTCATTTTTGGTCAATCGTCTGTTCTACACCAGTTACCCGCCCTAAAAATGTTGATCAGCCTTGTGAAAAAGGCATTGCTCAGAAATATCAAACTTTCATCCATCATGCTGTTTTTCATGGGTGACAACTTTGTACTACGAATTGTTAAGAACACAAGGAGAAACGAGTTTTCAGCTTGATGGATTTTTTTAGTTGAACCGACAGGAATAGAAAAGGTTTTAAAAAATATTGTGGCTGTTGCATTTTGACAGGTTTTTGACAGAAGACTGTGGACTCTTTCAAATAAAAGGGAAGATGGAAAGAAGCAAATTTTGTTTTAGAATATATGTTTTTTTCCATTTAAAAAACTGAATGAATTGAGTCTTTATCGTGGAAACTGCATATCCCTTCTTTATGTTAGTCCATCTTCATAGTGTCTAAAAATAAACTCAAGGCAAGTGTGGGAATCATTGAGTCCAAATGCAGTTCTGTTGGATGGAGGTGATGAGGTTGGATGGCTGTGGAGTGGCAAGCAGGCATGTTGGCTTATGAAGCATGGAAATATGTTGCAGTGGTGGATCTTAGAGAAGTAAAAGGGCTCCTGTACCTGTTGACTCACCTTAGTCCAAGGATGTGCCTTGATCTGGGGGAACTTGAACTCAGTGTAGTTGGGGTTCATCTCACGGATCTGCTCTCGGGTTGGGGTGCCGAGAACCTGGACAGAACACGACAGACGGGGATGGAAGATTTAACGTTTTTAACTTGAATTCTATCTTTGCTTTTGAAAAAGAATCAGAGTGTTGTATGTGACAGCTTTTTACCCTGTGGGTTACCCCAGTCGTTACCTTGATAATTTCAACCAGCTGATCCACTCCACTGTCACCAGGGAAAATTGGTTGCCCTAGCAACAGCTCTGCCAGTACGCAGCCGGCTGACCACACATCTAAAAGGAAAAGGCGGGTCACCAAGAGGAAAAAGACGAAGATACAAGCAAAACAGTCTGGATGAGCATCATGTGATAATATTCTATTGTCTATATATATATATATATATATATCACATACATCAACATGCAATCAATTCATTTGTGTGTGTAGGTTCAGCTTAGTAAGTGGCTTGAGGGTCAAATGTTGACTGTGTGACAGCTGGGGTCAGCCTACCTATGCTGGAGGTGTAGTCAGTGGCACCAAAAATGAGCTCAGGGGCTCGGTAGTAGCGAGAGCAGATGTAGGACACATTTGGCTCTCCACGGACCAGCTGCTTAGCACTGCACACAGAATCAAAGCACATCATCATGATCGTCATCATAACCATCACCACACTCTGCTGCACTTTGGCCAAAAGAAAGCCAAGCCTTGTGAGTAGGGTTTACACTTGTGAGAGCTAAAATACTGCCCACGTGCTTATTCCAAATGAATTAATGATCTATCATCCGGAACTCACACTGCAACCATCAGTTAGTGCATACATCATTACCAAGTAGTCCATATGTTTCATCTTAAGGATCAGAGTGTGAAGGAACAGTTCAACATTTTGGGAAATACGCGTCTGATCGATACCATTCTCATGTTTGTATGGTAAATATGATGCTACATGCTGCAACCAGTTAGCTTAGCTTAATTTAGTATAAAGCCTGGAGACAGGTGACTTGGCTCAGTCCAAAGGTAAAGAAATGTGCCAACCAGCTCCTCTGAAGTTCACTAATTAAAAAGTGTAAAAATGACATGTTGCAGTATTACAGGCGACCCTGTGTCAAATTATTTCTTGGCCTAGTCGTAGCTTCATATTTACTATACAGATATGAGCGGTACGGATCTTCTTATCTAAGGCAAGAAAGCGAAAGAGTATTTTGCAAAATGTCACACTGTTCCTTTAACTGCCAGGAAAAACCAGGCCACAGTTGACTAAACTTGACAAAGTGTGCGTACGGCGTCTCACCTGCCAAAGTCACAGAGCTTGAGCACAGCGGTCTCTGGATCCAGCAGCAGGTTCTGGGGTTTGATGTCCCGATGGCAGATCCCAAACGAATGGATGTAGGCCAGGCTCCTGAACAGCTGGTACATGTACAACTGCACACAGAAACACACGCACAGGTTATGATTACACAAACAGCGAGCTCAGTTTTCATTACCGGGATTTAAGTCTCGAGAATCGATTTCAGCCCCGTCAAGCACATAACGTTTTATTAGCAAATGTTTAGGCGTTAGTCACACGCTGCCGCTTCAAACTCCTGAATCTTGTTAGCCAGGCCTTGTAGAGATAAAATAAAACATGTTTCTGCAACTGCTCGGCCTGTTTCTTCCCTCAGGTTCAACCAGAATCTGGTGATTTTCTTACATTGTACAATGGGATACGTGTACACACACATAGATCCTTATGTTCTTTATGCAATACATGTTTACGTTTCACTTACATCTTTTAAACTAGACAGAATTTAAAATGGTAAGGTGATTATGTTCTTGCGAGATGACAAAAATTGCGTGTCTGTGTTAGTATGGAGAGCCAATCTGTGCGAGGTCTTCTAATCCCACGTTTCCTGTGCTAATGAATATTTATATTGGTGTACAGTTACAAAGGTAACTGTGAGAGCTTCCTCTGCTGTGTGGGACTGATTAACTGTAGGTGTGTTTTTTAATTATTTTACTGAGGTAGGAAAGTCATTTAGACTGAAGAGGCTATGTGCAATGTGTAATAAATTGTTTTGCCATCGCAAATTATTCTCACATTTGCTTCACATATCTGTCACAGCCAGAGAAACACTTGAAAAATCACGACTGGTCTGTGGGCACCACATGCGAACGCACGCAACAGACAGTTTTACACAGTGTGGAACAGAGAAATCATATTGATAGCAAAGACTTTACTCTTTGCATATTTTGTTTTTACAAACGATTCTTGGCAATTTTTTATACATATGTATTTTTGAGATCTGCTTGTTTTTACAGAGTTAATTAAACTGAAAACTAGTGCCAGCAGGAGTTAATACACCCTTATGTAAACAGCAGCAGTATTAATTCTGAGTGAATTAGCCTGGTGAAATAAAGTACATTGAATTGAAATTGAATTGTGTCTACAGAGGGTAACTTGTCAGTGATACTTTTGATCCAAATTTTACATTTTAAATTGCTATTAACTCACTTATCCAGCAGTTGCAGTTGTTGAACAGGGATTCAAATCAAAGTAGTACATTGTTTCTTTTTTAGCAAATAAAAGCTGAAAACAGATCTCACTAGAATCTCCATAGAGTTTAGGATGTAGGATGGGTTTCAATTCAGACATGAAGTGAAATGTGTGGGTTCATCTATGGATATTTTAAGCTCCAGGTCTTCAAAAATAAATGATTCCAATCTGCACAGTTTATCCAAAAATATAGAAGGCATATACAGGTATCTGTCCTGTAAACTCACTGAAACTATCCCATGTGTAATCTCGGATAACCGAAGAAGGGGACGATAAAATCACAGCCCACATTACTCCTAGATGTCTGAATACATCCTACACCTTCAAATTCACTGAGACTCCAGAGAGATCTATTATTAGATGGCTAAAACACAGAACTACTACCATACTCAAAAAAAAATTATGTCACAGATCCTACAGGAGTTCTATCCCATACTTTATACCAATATTTGTTTAATATACAGATATGTTTTAAAACTGTGATTAAGTTCATAATTATATCATTATATGCTCTTACTTTGGTGTAAAAAAATAATTCGAAAACGCTCAGACAAAAAAATCCACTTACCTTTGTTTTAAAATGATTTTATTGAACTAAAAGTTGACACATGAGGGGTGCCCAAATGGTTTCATGGCACTCTACTCAGACAGTATTGATGCTAATAATAAGTTACAGAATACAAACTGTGTGGGAGTTTGGTTAAATATCACCTCCCCCTGGTCTTGTTAATAAAGTGAAATGCACTTCTTGCCACGATGGTTACTGACACACACCCACACGCACACGCACAATTACATACCTTCACATAAACCATGGGCAGGGTCTGTTTGGCTCGGCTGTAGTGTCTGGCCACTCTGTACACAGTCTCAGGAACGTAGTCCAGGACCAGATTCAGATACACTTCATCTTTCTGTCGGAGAGCAGAAAGCACAGAAAGGGAAATAGAGGTTACATGTGCACAAACGCAAATCAGGAGAATAGTGTCCAAAAATTATAAGTCAAATCCAAGTCAAGCAAAACAGCTACAAGACATTAAGTAAAATCTCTGCAATTCACAACAATAAAATAAAATTAACAAATCACAGTCACGACCTACATATGCACACATCCATGCACATGTCAGCTGCCTATTATATCAATTCTTTATTTTGGAAAATATTATTCTCCCATCTCTTCCTCTTTCCTCTCTCTCTTAGCTGTCAAGGATCTGCTCCTGATGAAAGAACATGTTTTCAAGCTGATCACTGTCACTGATGTTCTCTTTCATAGAACGTATTTCAATGTCTCACTATGGGATTCGCTCCCTGTCGTGTTCTTTCCACCGTCAAACTGAGGATCCATTGTACAGGACTGCCCCCCCCCCCCAAGGGTAGGAAACACACAAGCATGCGTCATAACCGCCTGTACTCCAACAGCGGCGGCAGACAATGATATCATTTCCTCATTTCCTGGTTGGACGTGGCCTGTGTCGGAGGGCGGGGTTGTGCACGCTCTACTCTGGAGCACACTGACCCTGAAAGGATGCTGTATCGGAGGCCTCTCCACCCAATTTTCTAGGACTTCCTTTTTCCTTTGATTCTGACCAGAGTTAGCCAGCACTGACTCATCGGGTGTTTCTTGTGAAACCATTGTTTAAGCCATGTAAGTCACGACTGCAAATCACACTCATGGCTCGTACTGACATGCAACAGTTGGGAAATATTTTTAGATACAACGCACCTTAAAGATTGACTACATAGGAAATTACTCACACATACTTATTCATGCATTCACAGCTCGCCTGCTGGTCCTTGATTGTTTGTTCAGGTGAAGAACAGCAGAGTCTTCAGATGGCACATTTGGCCTGCTCAAGGACTGGGCGATGGGACGAGCACGTCAGCTACCAGCGGCAGCCCTAATCTATGATCGCTGAAGTTTTGGGCTTATCTAAATCACCAGTACTTTCCATTGAAACAATTAATCTTTCATCACACATACTGTGAATTGTTTCTTTTTTTTTTTAAGCTCAATAATTCCTAAAACAAAAAGCAACTGAGGGCTTTAGTAAACATTAGTCAAACAGAGGTAAACTGTGCAATTGTGCGGGACTACTTTCAGCAGCGGAATGATATCCATTTGGTCCTCTATCAGAATTTATGGCGGCAGCACAGTGTATGTGACACAGACCCAAAAGAAACTACAATGCCAATGTTGGTCAGTGTAATGGTGTAGCTCATTTGTGTTTCCAAAAGCTTTTGGACACTAAGGAACCCAATGGCACAAAGGAATGAGTTATATCAGGCTTGGGCTACACAGGAAATACTTGTTCTCAGGATGGATTAATTGATGGTTCTGTTCTTTTTATTGTTATGTTCACACTAAGAAAAATTTAAAATATCACCAGCTTTGTCCTTAATGGTTTCAAACATTACCATTATTAATAATTTACCATTTAAAGCACAATTTGAGTGCATTCAGTAGTTGCAACAGAACTGAAAATATGGGACTTCCTTTACTCAGTATTGTAACATCCCACCTGCAAGCGCGTTATTGTGGCTTTTCTGGAGACATCACATGGGTAACATGTTCTGTTTAGGTGCTTGTTTGATAAACCGTACTTTTGCCACATGTCGAATACATCTGCTATGACCAGCTAAAGTGGTGATTATGGCCCATAGGAAAATCTGGTCCCATTACCTAGACTTGTTGCACTGTCACCCAGTTAATTGAGAGTTATTCTAGCTTGCAGGAAACATATCTGGAACATAATGTGTTTAATGGACACTAAATCTTTGAGACAATATCACTAGAGAGCTGAATTGGACTAGTGGGAAGTGCGCACATTGTACTACATGTAATTGTGAAAGTGACAGGTGCTGTCGATCAGTGTCCAACCAACAAACACACACCTGGGGGATAACAAATCCGGGCTTCCAAATGGAATTAATTAAGTAATTCTCTGCTGTTTCTCTCTCTTTCCTTTCCATTTGGTCAGCGAATCAATGTCTGTATCCTTTTGCCTCCTCTCCCCCATCTGTTAGCGGTGTTAACAGTCTGCCCAACATACAGCTTAGGCGGGGAACAGAGCTGGCTCCCTGCAGGTCTGCGGAGCACAATGAGAGAGCTGGGCCCGTGAAGAGCGCCCAGACAGACTGTGTGGTAGACTTCTGTCAGCTCAATGCCCCGCTTTGTAGTGACTGCTCTCTCCCACTCACCCTCAGACGATTAGATGCATATGAAAAAGAGGAGCGGGAGATCTCGCAGACAGTCGCACACACATAGGGCTGCAGATACTGGTGACAAAGAACAGCATTTTCTAAACAGCTTTCAAGCAATTTACACACTCATCTGTCACTGGCGTCACCCTCAGCTATTAACACTCCTCCTCAGTGTCTCTCTGTCCTCTAGCCATGTGTGTGTGTGCGTGTGCGTGTGTGTGTGCGTGTGCGTGCCCGTTCCTCCTTCACCGGCAAAACTCCCATTGATAACATTTGTGACGGCTACAGAGCCTGCTACGCCTCCTGCTAGCACCACCAAAGCTATATTTAGCCTAGCAACAGTGATGACTCACTTCCTGCCTCACTACAAAGCCACTTCCTTGGCTCGTTCCCAGATGGTTAGCCAGGCGGGGAACTGATTGGCTCCTCGCTCACCCCCGGCTAAATAATTCACCCTCTAATTTGCTGAGCAGATCGCTTGCACATGAACAACTGGCTCAGCTGTCTATCAACAACAATCACCATGCTACGGTGTGTAAAAGAAGTGGATTGATGGAGCAGTGTGTAACAGACGGCATGTTTCCACACATGCTTTATATATTAACATGTGTGTCTGTGCTTCCTGGTGATGTGCCCCTTGGTGAGTATGGCAATCATACTTACATACATATTACACAAGTCTGCACTTACTACTTACAACACCTATAATGTATGTAAGTCGATATGATTAGAGAACAGTCGGTGTTGATGAATCAGTGAAATCAAGGAAGACGACAGATATAAGTGGAGGGGCATGCAGCTTGTTTTGACACACCCTAATAAAGACAATTTCAACATCACACTGCACATCTAAGAATAAATTCATAAACATGTTCAGGGGCCGCAGCCAGTTACACGTCAGGTGTTCACATACACTCTCACTTGTCTCTCACTGTTTCTTGGCAAATCCAGTGGCAGCTCTACTGATGACTCACCAGACCTCGCTTATTACCCAGAAGCAATGCTGTCCAACCACACCCTGTCTATTAACATCTGCATGTGTACATATATATATATATATACAGCATTGCTTCATATGTATATTGCGCAATATATTTCCTGCTTAACAACAAAGTTTGTTGGGATGGTTAGGGCCAACTTAACCTGCTAGCGGGGGCCAGTATGTATGTACCCAGTCATTTACATGTGCAACAAACAGACTACTCCTTTTGTCTTGAGGCCCAATCAGTGCAACTGCTCTGGAATACTTCCATGCTCCACACTCTCTATGAATCACTTAGTTTGTTGTACTTTGAGTAAACTCTTTATTTAAAATATGCACCATGTAAGCCTAACATCATTGAAAATAATTAAGGACTAGTCAGAGACTAGACATAGACAGATTGTGAGACAGTGTTCCAAGATTAGGAAAAAATGAAGGGCCCTTATAATTTCAATTTTATAATTTGCAACTAATCAAATTACCACTAAGTAATTGCCACACAGAGACGCTGAGGCCATGAGGGCATCTGGCCCGTTGCTAAATGTGAGAATTCAATATATCAAACATGAAAATACAAAAATATATCAGTTCTGCTCAATGGCTGACAAAATGAGCTTGTTCTTCAAAAAGGTCTTTAAGGGCACCAATTACTTGAGAAAACCATCACGAGGACGCGTCAGCACAGAAAAAGAGCACAGACAGTTCCTCCCTCCACTCAAGGCTCATTTACCAGGCGGTCAAAGAGGACAACTGACCTGCAGAGACCCAAAAAGCTCCCAAAGTTCACAGAGAGTGATTTAGTTACACGGAATTTGATTAATGAAGAATGTTGACAGCATTTAACGAAGGTGGGAGCAGTATGATCACCTTATCGAGACCTGGTGTAAACAAATCCTGTAACAAAAGAGATTTATTATTCTACTATTTTTATAATGTGCTTTTACATTTAATATTCCCAAATAAAATTGTATTTAATCAAATTACAGCATAACCACTGTGGTAACATGGGATCAGATAGTATGACTGGTGGAAAGATAACCAGCTCAACAACATTCTTTGCTGCACAGTCCTCTAGCATGTTTATCCTTTCATGCCTCCACTGGTTTATGAATTGTAATTAATGTTCATTAAATAAATGCAACAAAAAAATGGATTTTAATTTTTTTTTTTTGCTGTTATAACTGAAGAAAAGCTGATAACTTCAACCTGCTGGCAGGAATGTTGTATGACATATTGTACGTTCGTGTATCAGAGAATCCAGCTAGGTTACTGAAAGCAGTTGTGTGCGTTTAAGTGTACACAAATGTGATTTTGAGAAACAGCGGAGGGCAACTCTGCGTCAGCTGAATGTCTGACATGCACTCTCAATGCGACTACATATTTTGAAGAGGTAAAAGTCAACCTGCTATTTGCTGACCTGCCCACGCTGTTTGGACCAGTGGCCCTCTGTTTGAACAGTATTATACAAGCGGTTAAAGGGTAAAAGCAAAAGCACAGTGTGTGTGTCAAGCACAACACATGCCAGCAGTTACATAAGACTACCTGTGCACATGCTGACAGTTACATTTTCAGTCGTCCTGGCCCATCTCACAGCTGCACCCAGTGTTAACCCTCACATCAGGACACGAACAGCACCCACACACACCTGACATGACCTCGTCTTATGTCTCTGTCACCCTGTCCTTTTTTTGTACAAAACTGTCATCTATCCATCAACCTGTCTACAACTATCCATCCATCCACTATCCTCCCTTTCCAGGTGACATTACCTTTTGCCTACTTCACTAACCCCCCTCACTTTTCTTCTCTCTGAGCTCTATGGGTGGTAAATCCCCATACCAACAACATGGTGCCAGTCTCCATAATTAGCCTGGAGTCATACCGTGAGGGGGAAGAGGAGGGAGAAGAAATGGATACATGAAAGAGGACACAGGAGGGGGGAATTTAAAGGGTGTAAAGGTGAAAGCAATCGGACGTACAAACGAAAGTTACCGATTATCAAAACAACAAGATCCTGTGATTGCAAAAGTCAAGTTGGTAAGGAGCGGGGTCATTCACACCGCTGTCAGTGTGTCAGTATACCAAGAAGGAGCCGTGATTCCCAGAGGTACGTGGGCTCGTGGCATAACGTGAGGGGCGGGAACAGGGTGGAGCTAACAGCATGAAGGGGAGGGCTTGGGTGAGTCTATAATTAACTGACACCCTCTAGTCTGGCAAATAAATTCCCCCTCGCCGTCTCTCCGTCCTCTCTCCTCAGACCCATCCCTCACCGTCACCTCTCCCCTATAATCCCCATCAGCTTTCCATGACCCCGGTAGGTGTGCAACAGGGAAGCATTCCTGACTGCAGTGTCATGAGTATAGTCCCGGCAGCATGTGTGCCCATTTGTCAGCTAGCTGAATGACATAGTCCAGCCTTGTAGTCTCCAGGGGACCTCCAAGACAGACAGAAAGGCAGAGAGAGGGACTTCCCTGTCACGATGTACTGTATGTACTAATGTATTTATTACAGCCAAACAGGCCAGGAGGCAAACATATGATGGGAGACGGTGAAGCTGACTGGCTTGGAGGGCAACACAGGAAACATAAAAAACTAAAATAGGCAGAAAAATCCCAGTAAAACAAAAGACAGACTGTAGCTGAACATTAATGGCAAAAATGCTAACATTTCCTAATGAGTTAGAGAAGCTAAATTATTTTACTACTCTCACTGAAGCCAAGGGCTCAATCATATAAACACATACTAAGCCCAGGGAACCATAAGCCATTCTTGAAGATGAAAAAAAATAATAGTATTAAAAAGAAATGTTCTTCAAGCAAGGGAAGAAGGTAACGCTCTTTTTCTCCCTCTCTTTTAGGCAATCAACAGGAGTTTTTTAGCTATTTAAAGAATAGAAATGATAATACGCATATAGAGAAAAGGAGACCAATCTCCCCTCCACTTTGTCTTCACAGCAGCTACCTGAGTCATTCCACCTTTTCGTTTTAAAAATAACATAACGACAAGATGGTTGATTTGAAAATGTTAGAGGAACAAATGATTCTTAATCAGTCTTTATAAGCAAAGTGTGATCTCTGTAGCTCTAAAAACATGCAGTTGTAATATCAACAAGGGGTGTGGTATGTATCAAGTGATAGGTTTAAGTCCTGAGGCTCAACAAAGTAATAGCATCATCAGTTGCATCATGCTTAGGGAGGTTTTCTCTGGAAAGTGCTGAGATATCTTTCAGGCATGCCCCCGCGGTTATCTCCCATCTCAAAGCAAAATGAATGGTTGAAAAGACCTACAGGCAGCTACGAATGTATGAATTAGGTATCCGTAAATTGCCCCTTTATATTACAAAAGGAGGAATTCTTTACATATCATGTCGCTTGAATGTCCTTGAATGTTTCCACAGCCAGCTGCAGGAGGAGGAAGTATGAATGGATTTTCAAATTTGATGCCTTTGTATATTGTACCTGAGTCTGAATAAAGAAATGAGTTGAAAAAGATGTTTTTTCAAACCATGTCCATAAATGTACTTATGGATCAGGTTACATTATACTGCTTGATGTGATACTGTATGGCCATTAGTTTACTTTCATTTCTTTCAATATGTTTATGTGTTATAATATTATGTCTGTATAGTGGACCAGGGTTAGGGTTATTACTTCACTAACCCCGATAAAGACATTGCTTGTAATAAATACCAAAACTCTATAGAAACTTCTTCTTTGTGAAGATAAAATTGCAGTGTTGGGATTCTACACAAAATGAAGAACAAGAGGAAGAACACTCAGCCAACTGACCTTGTCTCCACTGGAGTAGAAGAAGTAGCGCAGGCGGACTATGTTGCAGTGGTCCAACTTCCTCATGATCTGCAGCTCACGGTTCTGAACAAAACAAAAACATGAAGCTTCAGACATATGACAGACATTTTATATTTTATCTTATGACAAAACACATATTTGCTTCTAATAATCTTGCCAAACAATCATCTTGTTGTCAGCCACGTCACTGTCACCACGTAGGTCAATGTGCCAGTTTTTGGGAATCAGGATTGAAAAAATTTTTTTGATGTGGTAGCAGCAAAGGAATGCTGATTTAAATAAATAAGTCCTTCGTAGAAGCCTGGATCCCACGGGATAAAACGTGACGACACAATTATGTACTGTGTGGCATGTTGCCTGTTCCCATCAACGGCACCAGTAGCTACAGAAAAAAAAAAAGAGTTTGTAACACAGATGTACAGCAGAAACAGCTCTGAGAAAGATGTTAAAATAGAAGTGTTGAAGTAAAAAACTGGTCCAATAAATCTTGGTGGCTGTAGTATGATGAGCCACAGGCCTTCACAGGGCCACGAGAACTAAAATGTAAGCACTGAAACCTGATAGAGCACTCCATCTATATTCATATACAGTGTGTCCATGCAGAAAATGGTTGCGCATATGGACTTTCTCAAGGGTGGGCAGGACTTCAAGCATTACATAAAGCTTTAACAGCTCCATTATAGTTCACATTTTCTCCCCCTTCACCATTCTCCTTCCTTCCCTCCCCCTCTTTATCACAGCGCTTTGCGTTGACTTGATCTAAAGTGCTTGTGCAACATTTGGAGAGAGTGTGGACTCCACTTTAGAGACTGAATGGAGTATGGTCAGGAAGGAAGCACAATACAGAGAGGAAAGTAAAAATCAGTCGGTGGCAGATTCATTGCATCACAATTTCACCTTTGTTTTAGAAGTCATGTGCAATTTGAATGGTAGAGTAACGGCTTTGTCCTACGTATTGGCGTAGCCACAATAACAACACAGAGCACCCATACTGAGCGCAGTGACATGCATATTAATATTCTGAATATGAGATTTATGACAGCGACTCAGGTTTTAGTCAGGATGTGAGCATGCATAATAAATGCAAGATAACTAACATATTAAGTCTTTTTTTGGGGTATTGCTTGTATGCTCAGTGGTTTGTGTGAACACCCTGGTGTTTACACGCAGGAACTCAGAATTCAAATAAGGAACATAACCAGAATTTAATCAGCTTAAGGCATACTCATACTGAGAAAATAAGGTGTATGCTGTATATTTCAACTGACAAGGTGACTCACCAGTTCACTAGCTCACTGACTAATTCCCTGGTTGAAAGACTGAATACTGAGCTAACTGGCTGTCAAGCAAACAGGCGAACTGCGTGGTTGTCTTGCTAACTAATACACTGACAGACCAATGTTTGACCTACACAGTGTGTGCTGTGGATGTCTAGGGAAGAAAATGTTGGCGAGACCCTTGCAGGACGTGCGGTCAACTAGCTGAGCAGGCGATGATCTGATTTCACCGTAAAAACAGGCTTCACTTTTGGCTTAAAACAATAGCATGTTAAAATGGTTAAAATGCGTTCGCATGGGACCTTGATGTAGCTTATGAGCTGCCTTAACTGGCTGAAAACACATGACTGGATGACAAGCCAAAGAGCAGCTGGCTGAATGACCAACTAACCCACTGACTGGGTTTAGATTATAATTTGTGGAGGGTGAATAAATGTAACTCTGGGGGAACAGTGTGCTGTGCTTTTTTTGTCACAGTTTTTTGTTTTTGTTTCAGATTGTATACGTTAGCTGTGTGACTTATTGACAAGCTGACAAGCCGACTACCTGACTCTTTGAATGTGGTTGTCAAAATAGTGAGAAACTGCCTGTGATGTCAGCTGACTTACTGATTGGGTGGCAAATGAGATCCCTCATTATGTGGGTTAGGACCACATTGGCTGGCACGATGGAGGTATGCAGCTGTCCTTCCACACTCTTCTGCCACTTTATGAGGATATAAGTGAGCTGTCTGTCCAATAAGGAAGACCTCATCTCAGCAGCAGCAACAAAGTCCCTCCACCCCTCTTTCCTACAGCCTAACTCACTTACAGGCAAAGACATGTAGTTCCCTCCGTCCTCCCCCTGCTTTTTCGCACCATACGCGGCACACACACATACATACACAACCCCCACATCGTAATGTGACATCATAGCATGTGGGTCACAGACTGGCCATCGAACCATCATGCACTGCAGGCAACGCCCTCGTCCTCTTGCAGTGGCTTAGTGGTAGTGTTTGAGATTGTGTTTGGCTCTGTGTGTTTGTGTGTGTGTGTGTGTGTGTGTGTTTGTGTGTTGTTATGTATGAGAAAGGTGGTACCATATGGAGGAGGAGCAAGACAGGCTGTTCAGTAAAGCCCTGCCCAGCTCCAGTTATACTGCAGTCATTCCTGCTGACCTGTCATCCTCCAGTGTGTCAGCAGAGCAGCGAGCACAGACCGAGAGAGACAGAGAGAGACAGATGGAGAGGTAGAGTGCCTCAGTTGCAGGCTGCTAGAAGTGCTACACCTGAGTGTTTCATTCTGCTGATGTATACTACCAGACCAATCCACATCCAGTCTCCAAAAATATTAACAGCATAGAGTAATCGCACACACCAGCACACACAAAATGTTTTACTGTTCTCCTTAAGTAACAGCTTATAGATGATAAAACTGACATTATTCTATATTTTTCATATTGTCAATAAATCACACAAACTGCTAGCGCTTTCTGAGCATCTTTCTGTTTTCTCTGAGCTGGCTGGTACACTCTGCTCTCTGGACAAAGCTAATAAGCTACAGTAGCTTACAAGTCAGCCCTGTCAATGCGGCCGGCTAATGGTCAATGTCACAAAGTCACATGTTAAGTGAAACTCGATGAGAGAAATTCTTGCAGATTTACTTCAGTGAGTCTCTCAGTGCTTTGGCTTTCCTGCCCTGTGAGTGGTCAATCTCAAGCCCGTTCATGCCCACTGAAGATGTAAATCGTTGAAAACGTGTGACCAACACGTGGACTAACTGTTTTGCACTGTAGTTCAGATCAAATGTTAATCAAATAGTAGTAAATATTGCATTTACTGGGAACTATTTTCAGCTGCGCATTAACACACACTTGGGTCTCCAGTGAATATTCACGGCAGCAGAACTGTGTACTCAAAATAACCTACATTGTCCATCTTTAGTGTAGTGACGAAACATGTCACCCAGTGCAACAGTGTGGCACAATGATGTGTTTTTAATAGTCTTTGGACAACAATAAGTTCTTTAATACGGGGGGGATAAGCTATACGAGGATTGGACTACACAGGAAATACCTCTTAGTCAAATAAATTAATTGGTGGTTTTGTTCTTTTATGTTGACAATGAGAAAAATATAGAAAAACGCAATGTTGCTTAAGAGCGGCTACCACCAGAAATGCAATCACCCTGTGTGAGTGTTGGTTTCAATGCAAGCATCCATTTTCCAATAGGCTGATATGTGATCCCTCAGATGAGAGAGGAGAAGGACCCATCCCAGAATGCACCGGGATGGTGGGAATGCCCACCAAGATTGTCTCACACATACATTCATCAGCTGCACCCTAACAGAGCCTATTCATATGATTACCATGTTTGACCTCTGCGAGTGTGTGTGTGTGTGTGTGTGTGTGTGTGTGTGTGTGTGTGTGTGTGTGCATGCGTGCGTGCGTCAACAAGAGAAAATAAAACATTCACACGTTAGACGAGCACAGCTTTGCACACACTGGCTTGCTTGACAGATGAGCACCCAATCAGACAGAAAAAACACAAGTGTGGAGGAAAGGCTTTGAAGTGTAGGAATAAGAAAAAAAAAAAAGTAGAACGCAGGTGTTTGGTTATGTGTTTGTATGTGTGTAACTGGGTACACGCGCCTGATGGTGTGTGTTTGGCAGTCATGTGAGGAGTCTTAGCTCTCGTTCGCCTCATTTTTCGTAACAAGCTGTTCACAAGGAAGAACAGGCAGAGCATGTAGCGGACGCACAGAGAGCAGCTGAGGTAGAGAGTGTGCTTTAAAGAGGAAACCGAGCACCACAAGAAGAAAACACTGTGTGATCTTCAGATGGCCACCGAGCTGTTTAAACATGCCACCTGCTAGCGAGTGTTAACCACAGACTAACCAAGGGCTAACAGGAGGAGCAGGATATGACTTCACCATAGCTAGCATGCAGAGTCACAGTGTGTGTGTGTGTGTGTGTGTGTGTGTGTGTGTGTGTGTGTGTGTGTGTGTGTGTGTGTGTGTGTGTGCGCGTGTGCATGTCTTTCTGTGGTTGTGTGGACAACTTTTGGTCTGAAACCATCATTGTGAGGACATTTTGGCCGGTCCTCACAACTACAAAGTGATGATTAAGGTTAGGGTAAGGGGTTAGGGAAAGCATTCTGTCAGTGTGTGCGTGTGTGTGCGTGTGTGTGCGTGTGTGTGCGTGTGTGTGCGTGTGTGTTCCTAACAAACATTTTGTATTTTGTGACAGATGGTCAACCCCCACACCGTAAAGTGACATAATTTATCTTGTCTGATTTCGGGTAGCGAAGGACTAGCACCTGCTGAAAAACTGTGGTGAACCTCTGAAAGGTTAAGCCCGGGGCAGCGAGCTCCTGAAGTATTTAGCTGAAGCTGTTGGCTCGGCACAGCAGCCCCAGCGGAAAAAAACATGCTACAAGCAAACACACGTGACTAAACTTCAGTGACTCTCACGGGACGAAGCTTGTCCTACCATCGCTCCTCTCATCATCTCTTGCTAACACACCCTGACTTCTGAGTAGACGTAAATTAACACACAAGAGGCAACGTCTACCCTCCTAGTGGAGGGCTAGTCAATCAAATTAGAATCTAGATAAGTCATTGATACAACGAGTCCTAATTAATTTACTTCATTTATTTATTGGTTCTTTTCACAGGGACAAGTACATAACGTAAACCGATGGCGCTGGTAGCTGGACTTTGTTATGTTTGGACAGAGTCAGGCTAGCTGTTGCCCAATGTTTGCACTCTTTCTGCTAAGCTAAGCTAACCGGGTGCTGGCTGTAGCTTCATATTTAGCATACACACATGAGAATAGTATCGATCCTCACGTGTAACTCTCAGCAACAAAGCAAAAAATCCTACTTCCCAAACTGTCAAACTTTTGCTCTAAGCAGCCACTTAACTTCTCTTCTCATCTGTTATAATTACAAGATGTTTAAATGAGCTGAAATCCTGTGTAGAACAGAATTGTGTAGGCTGTGTAGGTTTTCCAGCACACATGTGGAAAAAATTACAGTCACACATTGTATTGCATCATCTGGACTGTGTACTTGTGCGTGTGCTTTGTTCTGTAAAAGCCAGGGCATGTGTAATATTAACTGAGTACAAACTGACTTGTGGAGTGTGTACAGGAGACATCAGTGTAAAATTCACAAAAACATTTTTTTTTTTTTTTCTATAGCAGGTGATTCCTTGGAAGCTTCCCCATACAAAACTGACTCAGTTCTCAGTCCTCAAGAGGTTATCTGTTTCTGTATGAATGTCACAGTTACTGGTGTGTTAGGTGCACACATCTAAAACCAATGTAGTCTAATACAACAACATCGCAATAAGGCCTACATGATGTCCAGTTTTGTGGAAACTGTTTCAGAGAGGTGTGAAGGTCTGAAGTTTGTGGTGCTTTAGCATTATATTATATATTACAAATTATTTTTCCACTCCATTTATATAAATCAAGTTAGGCCACGCTCCTTAATATAACCTTCATGAATGTAGGATTTATTGCAGGGCTGTTGTATTACACTGCGTTAAATTAAGGTTGGTGTACCTAATAAATGTAGTTTAGATACCGGGCATAATTTTGACACTGTTCCTTATTCGATAAGATACACCATATCCGGTTTCACCTCGGCCCGATCATGTCGGTGCACCCCTCACTCATAAGCCAAGAAAAGTTAATGAGAATCTAAACAGCTGTCCTGCAGGCTTGACAGTCTCAGCTCTTTTATCTGTGAGCTGTGAAAAAGCAGCGGGTGCAGTGAGGCCCCCTGACTCAGGGAGCAGAGACAATGTCGGCCCAGCCAAGGAACAACAAGCCATCAGTCAATGTGTCTATCTATCTGTCAATCTATTCAAAGCACAGGAGGAGGATTCCAGTAGAGCTTTGCTTGGAAGGAAATATGACATTTCCTCTGTGGCAACTGAGCTAAACCTGACAGATGGCTGAGAGTTAATGGGTTCAACTTTGTTTGTGGGTGAAAAGACCCTCCCACCACTACCACACACACACACACACACACACACACACACACACACACACACACACGCACACACTTCCTGCAAGAACATACACACATTAAAGCAACAATGTGTCAAGCAAAATGTAGAAAATGAGAAGTTTTTCTCATTTGTCTTTCTCGTTTCGCAGGTTCTCTGATCTCACCTTCTACAGATCACGCCATTCATGTCTCTTTCACAGTTACTCGGTCACATACATTAAGGCAACAAATATCTATTTTGGTTATATTGTTAAAAAAGAGAGAGAAGGATGACCAGGAGAAGAGAGAGCATGAGTGCGTTTATGTGTGCATCGTCATCATTTAGACAGCACACGCTGCTTTTCTCTGCCCTCGTTGTTTCTTTTCTGTTATTGACAAGTGAGAAAGTTGACTAAGCTGAAAGATACTATACATTGTTTGTAAGCATGTTTTACCTTAAACCTCTTGTCTTGCAGGACCTTCTTGATGGCAACCAGCTCCCCGGAGTCGCAGAGCTTAGCCTGGTAGACAACGCCAAACGAGCCGTTGCCGATAACCTTCGTGTCCGTGTAGCTCACCTCCTGTGGCCGGTCGGGGCCTTGGCCCGGAGTGGCCACAACTGTTGTTACCTTGCTTCCATCCTTGTCCCCTAAAGATAGAGAGATAGAAAAAAAAAAAATAAGCAGATGGTCGTCATCATCTCAGAGTCAAACTGGAACATGTAAGGCCGTAACAGCCGCCTTGTTGGAGAAGTGAGCCAGGTTTTGTTTTGTGCAAATTTCTGTCAAATTTCTGTGGCGGAGAGAAACATAAACAATCCCATGTCTTTCTTTAGGTACAGCCAGTTTAAGCCCCACTGGTTCCAGCAGTACTTCCTGCAGATCAACAGCTGTGCTTATGCTGATCTGCTCCCAACTGACTGACTGAGTGTGAATCATGGCTGAGCTGAAACACAGCATCCGAGCTACAAAGACTCACTATAACCCTGAAACAGTTTGAAAACCACCATGAAATGTGTTTGTAATTTTTAGGTCTACTTTGACTAATAGGAAATTAAATATTAAAGCTCTCCCAAAGACAATGAAACTTAAGTCTCAACAGATGCAGAGAGAAGGACACTTGAATTCATTGTATTTCCTCTTTGACACTACACATTGGCACTTTAATACAAATCAAAGCATCAAGCTTTCTTGGTCTGCAACCACTCGACAAACTCACAAACCATATAGACAAACCGTTGTGCTACTCAAGATTATTATCAGTGAAAAGTCATAAGCTCATAAGACTATGAATGTTTGGGATGCTAATGCACTATAGATGGGAAATTGTTTTACATGCCCCCCACCCCTCCTCCTCTTTATACCTTCCTCTCCACTCAGTGAAGAGCTGGCTCCGCTCCCTTGAGATCACGACATGGAGGCTTTTTCCTGTTTAAGTGGATTCTCTCCTTCTGCCTCACACTGTCCCCCTCCCTCCCTCCCTCCCTCCCTCCACACACACCAATCCATAGTAGTTTCAAAGGGTAAAGTTCATATTAGCTGGCAGTTAAAAGACAACCACGCAAGAATGTGCATTCTATTGATGGATGCTGCTTCTAGACTCTCAAATAAAACCCCATACTTCCACACAAACTATTTGCAACAAATCCTCCACACAACATAACACCTGCATCCTCTCTAAATCGATATCCCTCCCTCTCTCTCTGTCTCTTTCACACAAACTGCAGCTTGTGTGAAAAAGTTGTACAGAAGCCAAAAGAAAAAAAAAAGAAAAAAATCAAAACATCCATGTTAAATTTGTCTAATTTTAGGTGAACTGCTGAGACAGACGCTGCTGAGACATTTGTCAGCAGCTCATAGTGGGTACAAAATCACGCTGATGAGTGGATTAGTGCTGCTTAATAACCGTGGCCTGTTGTTACTTAATAGAAATGTCATGCAGCATGCTGCGGGAGCAGACCACCTCCACATAAAGGACACTGGCAGGCCAAAGGGTCTTATCCAATAATGGGTGGAAGCGACCATCTCGTGCCGACTTCTGGCAAACCACCAGCCTGTGACTAGTCTTCGTGTGACCCCGCATGGCTTGAATTATTTTAACACTGGAAGTAAACCAGTAAACCCAGAGGTCTGATCCATTTTCATACTCACTGGCTGGGCTTATTTTCAAACAGGGTTATTGATTTTGACACAAAGAGTGCCTCTGTCAACACACACACACATGGGCAAAAGAAAGAAAAAGCCCTTCCCGGACATAAAATAACCGTTTTATGTGTGTGCTTGTTCCTGTATGGCCAGTGAGTGGTCTAATCACTGAAGATGTGATTATGATCAAGGAATGAGGAAAGGGCAGGAGGGATTTAAAAAAAAAAAAAAAGACCAACAGGTCTTCACTCTCCAGGACCAAGTCTAGAAAGAGAAACTGAGGACGGACTCTGTAACGACAGAAATAGACTTTCTAAGAGAGAGCGTGTGAGATAGAGAGAGAGAGAGAGAGAGAGAGAGAGAGAGAGAGAGAGAGAGAGAGAAATGTGACTCGGCCTACATATTCCAGCAGGGCCATTTCTATGACGCCTCTGCACTTCCTCAAACCGTGAGAAAAGTCTGTGCACACACACGCGCGCGCACACACACACACTCACTCACTCACACACACGTAGCTCACAGTCAGATATCACACTGGTGCAAATAAAGAACGGCCAAGTAATCAGAAATCTTTTTTCTTTGCATTGTAAGTGACTGATTGGACATGTGTGTGTGACGCATGACCCCTTCACACACTAATCTGCTAAAGCTGAAAAATCATTTTCATAATCTGTCAATCTTCACACAGACAGAGAATTGCCGCAATAACCACCGACGACTAGTGACGGATTATCTTCACTTCACATGTGAAATGAAATTTCCATTAAAATAAATCATCCCCAAAGTGAACCGACCTTGCAACATGTGCTTGCACCGTTGCCATGGTTACTTTGTCAATCAGCCTGCAACAACAATATAACTAGCATGACAAATTTACTCGACTACAAAGTGAGACTGTAGGGAGACAGCTGCTGGAACTTTTAGCAAGGGGCATCAATATTCAATTCAGGTCACCAGGCTAGTTCAGGGCACAACTGAATACGGCTAATGTGTGCACACAACGAGGCCAAAACAACTCTACTGTTGAGCAGTTACAGGACACATGTGAGGTTGGGTTTACTCCCAGATTACCAGATTTGTCTCTGATAACAAAATGCTTGAGCATGTTTTGCTACAAACGCTTAGGGTTAGGGTTACAATACAAAGGTGAGCAAGATTGATCTTAGAGGTTTGGACTGTTGTCTGGACAAAAGAAGACATCTGATGATGTCAACAAGTACTCTGTGATGTGATGCATTTAATCGACCAAACGACTAATCAAGAAAATGGATCTGCATATTAAATCAATAAAGAAAATAATTAGCAGTTGCAGCCTTAAACAACACCAAGCATTTGCTGCCAACTTATAGACACAAATCTGTTGGCGCTCAAAAGCTGGTGCATTTTCTCGAGCTACATTTATGAGTCTAATCAAATGCACTGATGATGATGGCATGTACCACAAATAAAAGCTAAGGCGCTGTGCTTTTATTAATGTTAATATGTTTGTGTGGGCATGGGCATGTGTGACTCCAGAGTCGCACTCACAGTCTGGGAACGCTCACTTTTTCTGCTTTGAATCTGTACTCAGATGTTCACAAAAGCGTTTCTTTTTCCCTTTGTGTCTGTAACCTGGGGAATTCTATTCAGACATTATTTAATTTTTTTCTACACCTACAAATCTTTTCCACACATTCACAAACTTGAATTTCATATGCAGCTTTTTTATTTTTCATGGGTTTACAGGAGGGTCACACACAGTACAATCACAGGCTTTCTAACTATTTCTGAGCATCATTTCACAAGCTCAAAATCTCACTAACCCTTATTTGAGCCCATAAATCTTTTGTTATTCACTTCCTCACAAATAGAGCATTAGCCTAAAAGTAACATTTGGTCACGCATATGCCCACTGTTCAAGACGTATGCCCAAATAATCCAACATCATCAGCAAGTTTGACTGGGTGTTTAAGGAATTTTGGTAAAGTACAGTAATGCCTTGAAGCAGATAGTCAACAGGATAACATCTCTAAAATGAAACCAGTTTCTGTCAACACAGTCTAATATTCTGCAATTTGTCCTCCTACAGTTTTGAACAACCGTTTGAATGACCGTTTTCGTTTGTAACCAGAGGCACATTAACCCTCTGGCTACATTTTTGTAATGAGTTGATGTTTATGTATTTGTCTAACACAAACAAAGAAATTGTTTGCTAAAGTTGACTTGAATGCCTCGCCGTGATGAGCGATCCGCTTTGGAGCTAGTATTAGGGTAGAAATGGAGTGCAGTGGTAACATATGAGACAGTGGCAGGTTGTAGTGGTAACATTATTCATGTATTTACTGCAAGATGAGGGATATTTTTCACACCACTCATGTTGCATCACTACAAGCGAATGTCACAGAATGAGCACCTGCCAAACTGTCCATATGTTCATTCCTCTCTGACGCCTTTTCAGGTAAAACAACTATATTAATTATGGTATATTAATTATATATATATATGTACATACTGCATTTATTAAACTTTGTGGCTATCAGAGTTGAAATATAATAACACAGACACGGTGATCAAACACTGAGCCTTATTACTATGCTGTTATAAACCCGTTTATTACTTCAAACTGTCAAAAGCACTTTCTCACTTGGGTTATGTCAGTGTTATTATGCTGGATGTATGAGTAGGTCTCCAAAATACAAAATGTACAAAATGTTAATGGGCTTTGTTACATGGCAGCTGTGCACTGCAGGTCAAAGTCCCATTTGTGGGGAATGTACGAAGACACTTGCTAACTTCCTCAACAACAAAACAGACTGTACCAGCAGCAATAGCATGCATGCATTGTGTTAATGTGTGCAGGTACATTCGTTCACGCACACACACACTCATGCAAAGTGTTCCACCGCTGCTGCAAGGCTGATGAGATAATTCACCACATTGCTGGAACCTCTCGTCACAGGAATGTCGCTGCTGACACAGAGCGAGTTTGGCCAAGCAGCGCTTACATGGAGACATCAAGGTATCGGTGTGTTTTTGACCAGACTCGATGTGGGTGCATAGATTTTTTTTTTTGATATCAGAGTGGTGTGCAGCCTGCAGAGCCGTGGCTGCCCAGTCCCTGACACCACACTGACTACACCCAGTGGACTGAGCAGAGACTGATCATCTGCTCATGTCTCTTTCCCTCAAAATTCAGCTCTCTTTTAAATCCTGAGTGATTCAGATTGTTCTTCTCTTGTCTGCAAGTCCTGCTGTTTCATTTGGAATCAAAGACTGTAATTAGTTCATTTTGTTCCCATCATCACTTGCTAAATGTGAGAAAGGGACAGAAAGGAAAGGGGAGAAAAGAGGGAGAGAGAGAGAGCTGTGGCTTTGAAATGCTAAACAAGCCGCTTATTGTTCTTGGCCAGCTGCCTCACCCTAAAAAACAAAACCTAAGAGTGCTCATGTGGGTGTGCGAATGTATATATGTATATGTCTGTGTGTGTGTGTGTGTGTGTGTGTTTCTGTCTGCCTGTGTAGGAGGGGTAGGAGTATTCTCTCCAGGATCGTGCACACTGGCCCCAGCTGCTTGAGATCATCAGCCAAGTTATTCTCTCTCTCTCTCTCTCACACACACACACACACACACACACACACACACACACACAAGTGTAAAGAGTGTGTCAGAGTGTGTGTATTAGTGTGGTGGAGGTCAGGTTAACACTAGGTGACATGCAAGAGAAAAAGAAAAAAAAAACAAGACCAGGTAGACACCAACATGTTGTTATATAAATTCAGTCCAAAGTACAATCATGACACAGCTGACACTGCAGATCGTGTAGCTTTGAATGACACGTCCTACTTTAGATTGAAAAAGGAAATGCCAGAAGAACGTGAGCATTTGTGAGTGTCTCATTATTTAATTTAAGCGTCTGTTGTCATTTGTTGATGGGGAGACCATTACTTTCACAAAAGTAATCCTTATTCGACAATGGAGTAGAGATTAAACATTTAGTCAATTAATGAATTCAAGGGATAATTAATTTTAATGATCAACTGTTTGAGTAATTTGTCTAAAAATTTGCTGACTCCAGCATCTCAGATGTGAAGATTTCCTGTTTTCCTTCGTCTTAAATGACAGAAAACTTCCTCACTTCGTCCCCCAGATATTTGGACTATTTTTTGACATTTTAACCAAACATTTACTGTAATCAATGAGAAAAATGAGCACTTAGTGATAATAAGACAATATCTATGTGGGTTTGATTATTGGTGTTTTAATGCTGCTTTTAAATCAAACAACGAGTGGTTGATATATGGTAACAAAAAATCTTTAGTACTATGGCTGTGATTGCCAACAGGTAAAGGAAACTCTCTAATCCAACCTTTAAGACCAGGAAATATTTAAACTATAGTGCATCACAATGCTACAACAGTCAAAGCCATTATCTAGTCTTGTACTTTATAACATATATAATGATATACTGTCAAGGAGTTGCCTCACCCAGTTCTACATTACAGGTTTCATTTAAGCCAGCAGGTGTAATTGCTTCTATTATGTAAATCCACAAACCCAAAGAATCTGTGCCAGCCAGAACAGCACATATCAAACCAATTCCTGAATCCTGCTCATCAGCTCGACACCAGATTGTAGATCCAGATCTGATTATGTCAACAAGTTCCTTTTTGTCCCAGTCCTTATGAATAACGACGGATTGTGTTAAAATATGTGACTTACCCACTTCGCTCTTGGTATGTTTTAAGAACTAACTGAATAACTGCCACATCATTCAAACCAATGAAAGCTGCTCACCAGGCAAAGTTGTTCTGTTTTCCTTGTTTTTTGGCCCATAAAGTATCCAATTATAGTTCTTCTCTAGCTGAACCCATTGATTTCTCGGCAACTCCACAGACGTGAATGGCACAAAAATTGTTTAGTTAGATTTTTATTGGACCTATTTTCTCAAACTGTGAAGAACACATGAAGATGAGAGGTAAAAATAGATGGGAACCCACCAATGTCAGTACCCTAGAGTAGACTTTTTAAAGACAATCAATTGTCAGGACGGCAACCGAAGCCAGAGTGGAATGAACAGAGTTTTCCTTTAAACATTCACATTTTCTTGAACCTAAGGTCTCACCTGTTGTCGCAATCATTCTTTGCTTCCTATGTAAAATATAGCTGGAGAGATCATTGCATGAAATGTTTCATGTTGAAATTATATCACAAGAGACGACTGAACAATCAACTTCTCTACTTTTCTCTATGGGACTGGACGCCACCTGCGTGCAGAAATCAGATTATTTAACACCCAGTTAATTGGGCAATTTCAGCTTCAGCCTTTAATGACTGATAATGATGTATTGACTTACCAGATGAGTCTCTAGGAGAAAAAATATTAAAAAAAAAAAAAAGGGAGAGAAAGCTCAGCCAGAGACTGGTGTAAAACGCATGCAATGTTAAGACCACAAGGTCAGCTTCGCATTTTCTGCTAATTCAGTAGCTTATGTCTGCACAACAATTAGGCCAAAGATTCTCAGTCCAAGAGGTTTTACATTTAGCCAACTTATTGATCAGCACAACATTTTGTTTTAAGTAAATAACAATTTCCCCTAGAAAAGCAACATAACATGAACGATCCAAACTGACAGGAACACACCAAAGCTTTAACACCCATATCTGGGGCAAGAGAGGTATTGGGTTAGGGATGGGAGTTTGGAGTGCTTCTGTGTGTGCGTGTGTGTGTGTGTGTGTGTGTGTGTGTGTGTGTCCTAAGTGGTTTTCAGTGCCAAGGCCCAGAAGAGAGCCTCAGCCTCAGGCCTCACCCCACTAACACACATCATGATCACATCAGAGCCCCGAAGCACCACCAACATTCCTCAACAGCCTCACTTTTTCCTCACACACACCCAAATGTGTATCTGCATGCAAGATAAGAAAAGGGTGTAGCTCGGTAGGTAGGTAGATGTCTCCAGCCAGGGCAGACATTAGTCATTAATAATGAGGATATTATGGTTAAAAATTCATATCAGCTGGAACAGTCTAATAAACTGAAATTTATGTCATGCAACTGTAATGCAAACTTGCTGAAGACATACCCCTAAATGATATCTTGTCTCATATCACCATATCAGAAAGAGATGGAGCTCTCGTAGTGACATTTGATTACTTTAACTTGCAGTATCTGCAGTCTATAAAACACACATACTGTGATAAAATGCAGTATGATGCCAGATTGAGAAGAGAGAAATTTTGACATAAAAACAAACACTGAACGGTGAATGAGTGTAACATTCCCAGCAGAGATCATATGAGGCAGAAATTAAACGAGATTTGTCTGTGGTTCGACACTGTTGAGCAGGTAGGCCTGGACAGTCGCATGGCTTCATCGCTCTGCAGCCAGTCTACACGGTGCCACCTCATGAACAGGATATTATGTGTCACACTCCCCTTCAGTCGCCGCGACGTCTGATTTCGACACAGTCCACAGACTCCAAGATCAGTGAACCAGCCCTCTCCGGGATCACGTCAGTTTCAACTATGGGCGCACCTCCCGACTTGACAGTTGCGTAATAGACCGGCCCTATCGCTTTAACCCTATTACGCTGTGTAGTAATTCCGCTATGATGTCTGTTCTATATTCAAATGCACAATAATCTGACCGGATCTGCGGTAAAAGCAGAAGGCTTGATGTATGGCCTGGGCTCGTGCCAACACTACCTTCCTCTGGCCCGGCACTGGCCGGCGCGGCCTGCTAACCCTGACCAGGCTGACCGGCCCCGGGGCGGCGCATCAGAGCGCAGCGGTGTGTGCTCACACCGAGGCGAGCAGTGTGTGTGTGTGTGTGTGTGTATGTGTGTGTGTGTGTGTGTGTGTGTGTGTGTGTGTGTGCGAGCGCGCGCGCGCGCGTGTGTGTGTGTGTGCCACTCAGCACCGGCCAATCTCAGTCAGTGACACAGATATATGGCAGGGCTAGGCTATCCGGAGCTAACGTCATACTCGCTTGACACATTTTAGTGAGGAGACATTTAGCGAGGATATGTAGCCCACACTGGGCCTGGTGCATGCAGAAAAAGGTAGGCTTCTCTAGAATTACAGTGGTGTACTTACTGCTGACTTTCATGCTGCCGAAAGCAGAGGGCTGCGGCACTGGTTTGCAGCTCTCCGCGAAGGATGTGGTCCTGGGCCGACCCGACATGATCCAATCCCTTAGATTCTCTCGACTCGGGAGACTGTGACTTGCTAAACGGCAGGACTGATCGATTCGCCGACCCTTCTCATCCAAAGAGGATGCCAGTAAATGAATATCACTGTAATTCACAGGGCGGACAGGCAGAACGAGATCCCTTTATCCCACAATCCTTCACACTTAGTTCGTATCACCTAATAAACTACCCTTTCTTTCCCAGCAGCAGTCAATCAAAGCATCATTTCTTCCGTATATTCCAGGTTTTCTTTCAGCGGGCCTTTGAACACACGTCTCCGACTAAAATAGTCATGAATCTGGCCTCTCCCTGTGGCCCCCCGATTAAAACCAACTGCGATATCTTTCTGGAAGCGAAATCAATTTCACAAAGATGAAGAAGGGTGAGTTCAGATGTTAAGAGTGCTGATCCGGTGCGGATCACTTGTATATGCGGCGTTTTCTTGACGATTCGGGACACATGCAGCTCCTCTTCATATCCCGATGTGGAGGCTCAATGATCCGACTGCCATGGCGGCTCCCTCGCTATACCCTAGCCTACAGACCGTCCAACGGAAAATCTGCCAGTTGCCACAGTCTTCTTCAGCGAATTCAATGGCTTTACGCTGACTCAAAATCCGCCCTCGCCGCCGTCTAATTTCGGTGTCTTTAACGAGGCCCCGGAGCAGCGAGCTCTTCAGAAAATGATGGTCTTTAGGCACAGAGTGCGACGATACCGAATTTCTTTTTTTATTCCTTCCCCATAGGTTTCGGGCTCGCTGTCTTTGTCGCTACGCACCTTAGCTACGCCATTTCCGTAAAGGGGTAAAGGGATTGCTCCGCTGTCGTGGGAGGAGGTTCACGCTGGTGACGTAAATCGCGACGGAGAATAGGAAAACTGTGAACGCGCAAACGGTGAATCTGGGGTGGCCGATTTAGCCAATCACAGAGGGTATCCTTCAAAAATAGGCGTTGACTGTGTTCCTCTGTGCCAATGAGAACGCCGGTCTTGAGCACCACATGGCAAAATTTGCTTGGCACCGCCCTCGTGACTTCAAAGGCTTTTCCCCGTGCCGCGACAGGGACAATGGGCGGGTCTGTTCCCAGGATTGATTACTTCGTCGACCAATGGAGCTGCGAAACCAGACTGTCAGTACAAATGGACCCAGCTGTCACAGTGCACCGGTGGTCATGCAGCACTGTTGCTATGTTAGTTACAAAAGCTAACCCTCTGCCTCTCCTCGACACTTTTTAATTCATAATAATTCATAATAATGTATGTACATGGCTGCCCCGTCAACACAAACCTTTATCCGCGTAGCTAAATTTCGCCTTTACATTTTATTTTTTTTCTATCCTTGATGTTTAAATTGACAGCCACTCCTTTTTATTTGTGATGCAATTTAAGCTGTATTGCATGAATAAAGTTTATCATCTTTTTTATTATTGTTTATGTCATAGCCTACTAGTTTCATTCCTGTATTGTATAAAGACAATAAAGCTACCTTGAACTTGGAACCTCTTCTCATGCTTTATAAATTAGTTCATTATCAGCCATGTTCGTGTTGCCAAGTTGCGAAAAATCGCTAATAAGTTGTTAATAGTTGGATTTCGGTCCCAAATCCTCTGCAGCTCTTTTTCACAAAGTAGTCAATTCAGCCACAGATTTTTTTTTTCCACTATCTGGCTTCCCTAAAAAATGTTCTTATTAAGGGCTTATAACTGAACAACAATGAATTAGTAGATGATTTATTAACCATTGATGAAACCATTAGTTAAAACATATTGGAAATCCTCTTTGCTTCTCTAATGACCTAAAACATTTCAAGTGAGGTCTATCAGAACTACTCTCCATCTATTTCTAACTTTGTGATAAATGTTGAATTATGTAGTGGATAACCATGAAATACTCTGTTATTTGGAGACAGAAATATGTGTGTGATTGATTGACAACTATTTTTATTCCACAATTCATCATGTGCCAGTTTTCCTCATCTTAATCTCAGTCATCTAGGCTTGGCAGGAAAGTCTCTCCTTCTGCAGAATGATGCTGGTAGTCAGTCTTTTGTGTGGTTTATTTATAATCTGTTATGCTCAATATCAAAGGGAATTTCTCCCAGGCTGCCCTTCAATGGTTTATATGCGGAATAGAGAGCAGCCGCGTCTCAAAAACAGGCAGCTGAGCAGAAGTAACACAAGACGCTGTTTTCCCTTCATAGCAACACCTCCCCCGGCAAACACACATTTTCCCATTAGAGGAAGAAAAAAATACTGAGAGGAGATAGTGGGAGGGAGTGAGATAGATAGAGAGAGAGAGAGAGAGAGAGAGAGAGAGAGAGAGAGAGAAGGGCAAGTCAGGAAAGAGAAATTTAAAATAAGAGGGTGGGGAGATACTGTTCTGTTTTTGTCTGTGTTGCAGAGATATCATAAAAACTCCAGTATCTGTCTTGAGGAAGTGTTTAGGTTCTGATTAAAGTCACATGACACAGAGGCTGGCAAATATTCTAACCCTGGGAAATAATAAAGGTAAATAAACATCAAGTTTAGTATTGCAATTAACATGAAGTCAAGGCTAGATTACGAGTCAGGCAAAGTGGTGAGGTGCCCCAGAAGTCTTGGGTTGTCTGTGGGGCACTTACTTGGTGGTAACTTGGTCAATTACAAATTAGTGTGGTATTATGCACCCCCACTAAAGTACAAGTGGAAACTGACATGGTGGCTCTGTCTTACAGAAGGGCCTACATGCTGTATATCTAAATCTTAAAACAAGCTGACACACAACAAACCTGGGGCTGGGTATTATTCCTGCTCTCTGGGTAAGATGTGTTGGGGGAATGTGAGAAAGTCGGGCTTAATAGGGGCAGAATGAACATGAAGTGATATGGAGTTTTTTTCTTTTGAAAAAAATGACTTAAAGATCAGCAGGGCATTCTCTCTTTCTCTCTCTGTCTCACCCTCTCTCTCTCTCTCGCTCTTTCTCACACACACACACACACACACACACACACACGAAACATATACTTCAGACAACTGTGACCTTTGCACATTAAATGCTCTGAATGAATAGGGACAAATAATACTGAGAAAGCAATTAAGTGTATAAAAGTCATAGCAGTGACCTGTTTTCACCAGTTGCTCTGACAGGGTGTGGTGCCTCACAAACCAGCTATAGATGGGAGGCATGTGACGATAAATGTAGAGCATTGTGTAGACAATGTAGGTCATTTGAAATTACAGCAAAACTCAAACAACAAACTGCTGACAATGTAATAAAAAGGCATAGCATCATTTTAAGTAACATATATGACAATGTAAAACAGTAAAAAGGAGACAGATAGGAAATATGTCTACCAAAACATCTACTAATAAATATTAAAATAAATATAGCATCTGCATAATAGCTTGTATAGTGCAAATTTCAACTGTTCTGCGAAAACCTTTAATTTTGCTTTCTGGGCTTTTTTATCTTTTACTCTAAATGTCAGACATGTTTGGAATGTAAGGGTTTTCATCTGACAGCAGAAATGTACAAATAAAGCCATAAGTAATAATAAAAGTAAACAACATTGTGTGCTTTTGAGCTACAAAAAGATTTCACGAATCTAATACTCTCTGTCCCACGATGCAAGATTCAAGAATATCAGCCCTCTCTTCATACAGAATGCAAAACACATTCCTATTGAAAGCTACAGTCAAAGTATCTCCCATAACAGATGCACATTAGCTTTGTGCACACTGAAATTTGTCTATACTCAAAGCTAATATTCATGTTTTTAGGACATGAATTCAAGTGGTGGAAATGGATGAACCCGTAAAGTGCAGTAAATGTGTGTTCATACAAAGGTGGGTTTGAGGTCTTCTTTGAACACCACAGGGCGTGGGGAGCGGTAGAGGCTGGTGAAGCCTTCGTACTCGCTGTCGGAGGAGTCTGAGGAGGAGGACAGGAGCGAGCCCCGCTGCAGGCAGGAGTCACAGTATGGACGGTGGTAGTAACAGTAGTCTGTTGAGCTGCTGGAGTCTGAGTCCCAGTACCCACAGGAGTCTCGAATGTGTCTGTGGTGCTGCTCATTATCACCACCAGCTTCCATATCAGGTCGAGCCGTGTGATCGTGTTCTGCACAGCGCAGCGCAGAACATCTGTGAGACTTTGAAACACACCTACGACGTTTTCTTATCACGCCCTGCCTTTCTGCTTCCTCCTCCTCCTCGTCTTCCTCTAGCTCAAGTTCACTGTTGTCAACCCGGAGGAGATTACCATCCACGGTGACCCCATCATGGTGCCTGCCTGGATTTTGGTGTTCACAGTTTTCCCTTATCTTCCCACAGCCTGTGTAGACGCAGGGAGTCAAACCTCTTCTTGATGAGTTGAAGGGCGGCCGTCGTTTCCTCATTGCGTAAGGCGAAATGCTCGGGTAACGGAAGAGAACGGGTGGATAAGGGGAGCGTGGCATCCGCAGGGAGAGAGGGGAGAGTGCGGAGGGCATCCTGGCGGTTTGACCCGGAGATCGAAGTGCGCTTTCCACGACTGCATCCAAGCTCAGCTCCTGGAGGATCTCCTGCAACTGCTCGCTGCTGACAAAACCAGTCGGTCTGGCATTTGCTCCCAGCGGAGATGTTAGGCCACTGCGACTGCCAAAGGTTTCAACCTGTAAGGGTTTTCTACGGCATTGTAGGGAAGTGACAAAGTTAACAGTCTCCTCTGCCGTCCTGAGTAATCCAGAGGACGGGAGGGACACAGGCTGTTTGAGATCCTCATCTGTTCTGGATTCAGCTGTGTCTTTGTCCATAGGGCCAGAGATAGAGACACTCTTTTCATTTTCATCAGCGAGAGGGGAGGAAGCACTAATGGGGTTTGAGGTGTTTGGAGCAGTGGGAAGCTCTGAAGATGGTGTAACGGCAGCAGCAGTGAGGTGAGGGGGTGAGAGTTGAGATTTAGTGTCTCTCTGAGGTAGAGAAGAAGAAGAGGGGCCGTCTGACTGAAGCTCTGTGGTCTGAGTGGAGGAGGAGTTGAGGTTGGTGGCAGAGGAATCCATGTCCTGGTCATTGCAGGGCTGGCTGGCTGACATGAGTCGCAGGAGTTTATCCTTGGCGTTATTCACCTGCTCCTGCAGACTGTCAATCACAGCGTTTTTCTGGAGATAGTAATGACAAACACAATGGTAAATAATTTGAGATGAGAGAAAAAAAGTTGTGTTGTGTTGTGGACCAATTGACCAACAGATCACACTTTGTCACTGGCCACCCTACTACTATGGCTTAAAAAAAAAAGCTCCATTAATTGCAATTATGCTTTCTAAGTGCAGACACCATCAGGAAAAATATTAAACAGAAGTTTAATCTCTTATTAAATAGCAGATAGCATTGTGACAGACAGATGCAGTACCTCACTAAGGAGTTTTTTCATGGAGGTGTTCTCCCCCAGCAGGTAGTAGATCTCATCCTGACTGTACACAGACGCTTGGCTCTTACTGGGGCTGCTGAAGTACTTGGCCATCTGACCCGGGTTGTTCTGATCCTCTTCAAATTGCCGCCACTGGGTCAACTGCATGATACAGATGAATGTAGAGATCATTACACAAACTGTCAGCTATAGAAATACATACACGAGTAAATGTTACCGGGATCGTTTGACATGGGACCTTTGGAGCAGGTGTGTTTGAGTGTATTATTCACTGTTCAGATACTGCCTTCATTTCCACTGGAGTTGCATTCCTTTATCATAACATAAACCCAGTGCCAGTCATAAACCTGTTTACAATAGCCTACATAAAACTGACTCATAAACAGCATCTGTGTGAGTCATACTCCACTGATAGACACCACAAACTGACACGCATATGGAAAAGGGAGGTCAAAAAAAGAGAAAGTCATCCACATAGCTATCATTCATCTGCTTGTCATGCGTCTGTCTATCTACACTTTCTGCCTGTCTGATTGACTGTCTGTCTTTGCTATTGGTTTGCAGACAGAGTATCCTATGATTGCCTGACAGTTGTGCCCAAACAATAAAATTCCTGTCCTTAGTGGTTTGTGCTTGACAGATGCTACAAAAGTACCAGTGTCGAAAACAAGGAAATGTCAGAGGGGATTTTGAAGACTAAAGACACTTCTTTTTTTTTTTTGATCAAATAAATAAATAAATGTTTGTTTTTTTTCTAAGACACCCTTTTCCTCAGCAGTTTCATGCATCTTGCATGTGCATCCTCTGATGTTTCCTTCTAACCTGAGGCACAAACAGCATGCAGTTAGTAGCCAGTGTGCAGATGAAGATGGCTCCAGCCACAGCGCTGTAGACCAGGTTGGGCCAGGCCTGCAGGAAGACGGACACGGGGACGACCACAGCTGAGGAGAGGGTGACCAAAGTAACGGCTGTTATGATGGTGGGAGACTGGTTGACTGGGGGGTGGCTGACGTTGCTGGTCAACCCAGCCAGGTAAGTGCCATAGAGGAGAAGAGAACCCTGAAGAGTGAAAAACAAAGCACAAAGATGTTGAAATCCATCCCTTTGTTAATGCTGGGCTCTCCTAGACGTATATAATGATAAATATAGCAGTACTTAGTAGTAGTAAAAGTAGTCATGTTATCATTGCATTTGAATAGATCAAAGAATACTTACCTTTTGAACTGCAATAATGATAGCCCACAGATCTGAGTATGCAGAAGAACAAGAGTCCAGACGAGACAAAGAGTAGGAAATGTCTCTCTCCACCAACTACATCAGGGAAAACCATACACAGTTAGTGAGTTTCAACGCGATTATATTTGGCAACATCACCAATGTGTGTATAATTAATTACACTAAGTTAGGAAGATGAAGGAGTTTGTGATTTTGTAGTCACACAATCAAACTTTCCTGCAAAATCGTATAAATCAAGTAATCATAACTTGACAACTATAAGCAGAAAAGGGTTAATTATCTACTATGTGTTATCTCTTATAGTCCCCACACTGTTGTGTGATCAAACAAAACAAAATCACCTGCCTTGCTGTACAGCTTCACAAAATCACCATTCAATTCTACCTTGACAACAGCTCTGACAGATCGTGAACACCTGATGGGGTCTGTGAGGTTCCAGGTGGTGAGAACCAGCATGTCCACCAGGATCAACAAAGCCACCATGCCCATCAGCTGGATGTCTCGGATGATCTGAGACAGAAAGCAGAGTCGCATCGAAAAACAAGCTCATTTTATCCATGCAGCAGTTTTCAATCGATATGTAGTCACTCTTTGGGAGATGCCTCTGTGTTGCCCTCGTCACTTAGGCACTTTTGGAATATCATACGTCTCTTTTTGAAATTAATTGAAAAAAATCTTGTGACGTAATGATAAGATTTTTTTTTCAATCTTCTGAATCCACACAAAAGGCTTATCTAGGCCCATGGCCTTCATTCCTACTGAATTCTCTTCACATTATTTTCTGCTAATTACAAAAGAAACAGACCCACAAGCAGGTGAGACCGAGGATATGACACGAGAATTACATAATATATGTTGACTAAGGACGCTATGAAAGTCAGCTATAGAAACTAGATGATATCCATGCACCTCTTGTTTTTTTTTTATCAGTGCATCTTTCAAGTTGTGTCTGCTTTGCTTCTAAACATCGAATACCAGCAATTTAAAAACATTCATTAAACACGTTAAAATAACTTCAAAAAAGGTTAAAATAATAATTAATCCAATTAATGCATCCTAGAGTGACAGGGATAACAAAGATAAACATAGTACAAGGTCCTGGAATCTGTATGCTGAAAACAGACAAGACCTCCAGGAGGCCTGTGGAGCATGCCTACCACTCTCTTGTCCGGCACCCGCTGGGTGAACACTCTGTACAGTCTCCATGTCTTCCCCAAAATCGGGCCAAACACCAGGGTACTGCCGACACAAAGAGTCCACATTCGAGCCTGTGGGAGAAAGTACTACATAATTATGTCCCAATGATTAATCCAACAATATAATGGAGCACTGAGGGTGACGTGGGTGCTTACCTGTAGCACAGCTGTGGATGGGCCACCTTGTGAGTGTGTTTGTTCATCAACGGCAAATAGGAAGCCACTGCTATAAGTGAGGAGGCTTCCAAAGAGAGTCAGGACATTCAGATTTGGACTGGACATCTTCACTATTCTGAGGATACAACAGGTGCAACAATGAATTCATACATCTCAGTAAATGGGGTCTTTGTGTTTATATACTGTATGCATTTTGTTTTGCACAATACCTGTTGTTTTTGAAGCGCAGGGTGAAGAAGAGGAAGCAGAGAGCCAGCAGGATGCCACAGGACAGCAGTGTCCACACCACAGCACTCAGCACCGGGGAGAGGGACCGCCTCGGCAGCTCCACTGCCATCTGCATACACACACACACACACACACACACACATGCACATGCAAACCCCTTAAAATCACATCTGAGATAGTGCAGATGTAGCCGTCACACTCCTACATTGTTGGATATTTGTGTATATGTATTCTAAACCTTCACATTGGGGTAAAAGCAACAGAAAAAAGTACACAGGGTGCATCTGAGTAAACAAACTTTATTAAGACAAACAGAGCAACAAACATCATGCTAGAGCCTTGCATTCAAGCTCATTTTAGACATTGACAGGCGAGATGATCAGAGGTGCGGAGTTGATCCCACCATGATTGCGCCGGGGGTTAAAGTAAGGGAAAAGTCTTTCATTGAATGAGTATCCAGTGAATGAGTAAATGTGAGAAGCAGAGTCCACGTTGTAAAAAGAAACCTGCCCCCGCTCCAGATCCACATACACCCCGACTCTCTGGGGCTTTTCCACCAGCGGCACACAGATAGGAGTGCTGCTGAGCGCCCAGTAGCTCTTGTCACTTCTCATCCCCAGCGCCCAGTAGCCTCTCTCTGGGTTTAGCATATTCCCTCCTTTTCTGTTGACAGATTCAAGCCCGATTCCGATATCCCACTCTGTCTTCCCCTTCACCTGGACCTCGTAGTAGAACCTGCCAGAGGAGAATCCCTCCTTTCCCAAAACACTAACACCGGGGTAAAATCTCTCTGGGTTGTCAGGGAGGCTCAGCGCAACATCACTATGATAGACCTGTTTCCTGTTTTCAGACAGCACCAGTTTGGGATGCGCTGTATCAGGATCCAGCGTTACATCCACGGCACACTGCTGAGCCCTCTGAAATTCGCTCTCACACAGCCTCTTCGTCTCAGCCTTTACAGTCTCCTCTAGCTGACACATCACCCTCCTGACTGCTCTCCTCACCGTGCCCACGTACACAGCACTTTCTACACAGGTGTCGGACTGGTCTTCGGTGGCCGGCAGTGCGGAGAAGGCTGGAAAGCTCTGGAGAAAATAAAGGTCGTCTTCAGTGCGCGAGAGCTGCTCCAGCTCTGTGTTTCTCTGCCTCAGATCTCTGACCTCCTGCTCCAGCTCCATGATGAGTCCGCCGGCCCTGTTTTCAACCTGCCTCTGCTTTGCACCAATCACCTCCACCACCTCAGCTTGGCCTCTCTGGATAAGGTGGAGCAGTTTGGTGAAGACATGCAAACTCTCCTCAATCTCTCTTTCAGTGTTCCCTCCGCTGACCTTAACAGTTTGATTGATTTCTCTGATTTCCTGCAGGCGACCGTGGATCATTTTTTCCACCTCTTCGTTTATCCTTCCGACTTCTGCTCTCATGTCTCGGCTCTTGTCCTCTATAGGAACGGTGTGATGGGCCTTGTGGTCCGTCCTGATGCAGATCTGGCACACATATGTCTGGTCAGTGTTACAGAACAGTTCTAGGAGTTTCTCGTGCTGCTTACACACTCTGTCCTGCATGTTCATCGTGGGATTAATCAGGTGGTGATTTTTGAAGGTGCCTAGAACATGATGGGGCTCCAGATGAGTCTCACAGAAGGAGGCCAAACAGTCCAGGCAGGATTTCTGAGCCTTGACTCTTTTTCCAGCGCACACATCACATGACACTCCTCCTTCATGGCCTGAATATTGGTCCACAGTGCTGGCGTCATTTTCACTTTCTTTTTCCAACGACTTCTGGAACTGAGAGGCCACCTCTGAAATGAAGGTGTTCACTTTGAGCTCAGGCCTCCTGTAGAACTTCTGCTTGCACATGGGGCACTGCGACAGATTAGCGCTCTGCCAGTATCCTTGTATGCAATCCCTGCAGAAGTTGTGCCCACAAGGAGTGGAGACTGGCAGGTTAAACAAATCCAGACAGATGGGGCAAAGAAGCTGCTCCTTAGACAGCACACTGCCAGCAGTAGCCATATCTGGGAACACATCCAGAAAGAAAAGCAGGTGGGATTTTAGGGAATAGGTTGGCTCCATTCCTTGTATTTTTTTTTCTTTCCTCTGTACTATCACGCTAGAAACAGTTGCGCCTGGTGAGCTGTCTGCGTCCACGAATAGCAACAAATGTATGGTGTTACATTACATCAAAGGATGTTTCATTTTATCTGACAGTTTTCATGTCAGCTGAGTTAAACAGACAATAACAACGAGGGATTATTTTGGACATTTAAATAAAATAAAACAGTACATTGAAATGCTATCTTGTCACTTAATCCATTACCATAACAAAGCAAACACAGCGCGGCTCACTGTTCCTTTCCCCTTGGGAGAAGATGATATCTACACTTGGAGACCGATGCATGCATAAATTAACATCATAAAGCATGAAGGAAATCAAAGAGATAACTCACCTCGTGTCTATGTGGTGTAGCACGGAGAGGAAAGTGTTTGTGTTCCCTGACACAGTGTCTCTGCTACTAAAGTTTCTATTTGGAAAGTCACATTACTCTGTCTTGTGCCGGCGTCATGTTGCTGATCTCCACTCACTCTTTTCTTAAAGGCACCAGTGACTGCGACGATACTAAACATAGCTTCACCAGTCCTTCCCCATTTGTTTTCAGTGAACTGACTTCTTGAGTGGGTTAATACCACACGTCCAGCATGTTTTCATTTGTTGCATTTTATTTGTTTGGGTGTTTTTTCGTGATATAAAGACAGACATTCCAAGAAATCACCAACATCAACTGCAAAGTGGACACGAAACACGTGAGGTTTGCGTGCGCACGAGGGACAGAGAGAGATTACCGTGCTGAGGAAGCATAGTCTCTGCAGAATGTCGAGGCCCTCCTGCCTGTCGACTCCTGAGTGGATGAAACAAAGTGGGGAATCACAGTGGGAGCTGCAGTTCAGCTCAGGCTCCATGATTGGCCCCAGTCGGTCCACTTTTACACACACATCCTGTGGAGTGAAAAAAAAGAAAAAAAGAAAAAGATATGATGGGTGTAATGACATCTGAAAATTAAACACATAATTCTTTGTAAATAAAGCTGTTGAGAGAGCTAAACCATAAAATCTTTTGTTCCCTGTTGAGTCATAACATTTTCACTGTACCAATATATAAATAAATATAAAGAGAGCACCCACTGAACTGCAAAACAGAAGGCACTGGGGGCCAGAGAAACACACTTTATGTGAAGTCTTCTATTTCCAGGTCTGTAATTCACTGAACTGTTGTAAGACTTGCAGCCACCACAGTGTGGTGCTCTCACAGAAACCCCTGAGAGGAGAAATGCACTCATATTAAAACAACAAGGAAAAAGACCAGAGGCACAAATAAACCCAACAGAATGAATGTTAGTTAAGGTCTAAATGGAATGAAAATGTATTAATAAAGTTCATTATTTCCCAGCACAAAACAAATTGAGAAGCCAGGTCTTAGCCTGCGTGACAGGAAGCTGGTGTGTTTCTGCTTGTCCTCAGTTTCCACAAGCGCTGCGTCATCATCACAGAAGTGAACCAGCCAACACGCTGCTGTGACACACATCTGTGCACAAGACAGAGTGAGACTACAAGAAAAAAATACTGCAATTGAAATATACCAGAGCTATCATTTACAGTTTCACCGAGGGCCACATAATCTGCAATCAGCCTGGTTATTTAAGGCATCAGAGACTGAAGATGTAAACTTTGGGAAGTATCACCAAACTACTGTTTGTCACTCTTGCCAAAGGCATTTTTATGAGGCTACCCGTGCTGCACTGACATGTTGCAGATTTAATTATGCTGCATGGTATCACCTGATACTCTGAGCTGTAAGTAGTACAGACTAAAGAGTCTGATCAGTCTACACGCTGCAGTGACTCAGCCACATGTTGTTGAGGCCATGTTAGATCACTCTTATTGATACCAATTGGCAGACAGCTCAGTGTTTTATTAGGCATCATGTATCGTCACTGTCTGTAGAATGACTCAGATAACCTGAGGGCCTCTGTTATAGTTAGATTGTGGGATCCATCACAATAAGAGTGGGAAATCAGTAATCACAAACCGGTTTGTGAAATGATTAGGAAACGTAGAATAGCATACAGTAATCCACCCTATGTGACATGGAGATATTCTATTTGAAAAGTCTTGTAGGTCTAACTTATTAAGTGAAATCCAAAGTGACCTATTTCCACAAATTACTGGTGTTAACAGAACAATGAAGCCCTCTGGGCAGCATATCTGGGAAATGTCTGGAGTTCCTGTTCATGTCCTTTCGTCACTTTCCAATTTTAGATCACAGTAGTGCTGCTTCCCGCAGGAAAAGTCGGCAGAGAGAGGCATTTCCTTCAGTTTTTCAAAATCCTGCCTCTGTAGATTTCAGCTGGAGTGAAAACCCGCCACCCTGCAGAGGGCAACAAAGGTCGGCCAACATCTAGCACGTTGGTCACTGTGTAAGCAACCAGCACAGGGCCCGTCCCCAGGGTTATTTTTTATGGACATGTTTTGACAGTTCAGAATAGTCATGAGGAGTGTCTTCCGAGGAGACCTGAAGGGTAAACCGCAAGTAATACCTGAGCTACCTGTGGCCTTGGAAGTCTGAATGTAGGGCGGGACTGTGTGTAGTTTAGCTTTCAGTTTAAAGTGAGGTAATGTCCAATTTTTCTTCAATTGAACAATCAGGAATATATCGGCCTTTTCCAACAGGCCTCTGTGCTCAGACAGAACGGAGTCGCGCGTGGCCTGAGGGCTACCTTAAAACTTTTAACAAAAAAAAAAAATGGAGTTAAACCCATTTATTGTCCTGCCAATCTCTCTGTTTCTCTTTTAAGATTAGAGCGGTGAAACCACGGGCGCTGCCGCATGTAAAGACCGATTCAGGGCCCAATATTGAAACATTCCTCTTCAGTCTGTAATCCGTTTATAGGTTTATTCTTTAAGCTGAGTTAGAATGCAATTTACTGACAATGAAATCCCGCCTCAGGCCCGGCGCATGTCCATTTCACAGCCTGGTTCTAGGAATTGGTCATCTGCATATGTATGAATTTCATATTTGATCTCAGGTGAGGAGGCTGCACCGGAGCCTCCAGCTCAAACCAAACAATAGACGAAAAGCTGTTGGACATTAAAACAAAAAAAAACAAAAAAAGACACTATGAATTATCACTGGAATAACAACATATTTGTTAACGGAAAACCACGGCGTTTTGTTTTAGACCAACTAATGCTATGGAACATTAAAATAAAGTCTTAGATTATTTGACATCTTGCATGATCTCCACCGGTAATCAACAGTTCACTGAGTGAAAAAGAACATGTGCTCATTTCCAGCTGCATCCGTGCAGTTGCAACCATGTGCACGGTAAAAAAAAAAAAAAAACATCAAAGTAATCAACACGACAGCCTGAGAAGAAATTAACACGTTCAAGAAAAATGAAAAGGGAGAACGCTTAAAGGAAAAGTTTGAAAGAGCAAACCTTGGTCTCCAAAGCGCACGGTGGATCCCATCGCCTCGTCCCGTTCCAGACTCCATCGCTCAAGATTCAGAAACGTTTTGATGTAAGTGGGAAGCAAATGACTGAATAATAATGTGCTATCTAACATAGCTGCAAAGTTCCCATAGCTGCACAGCTACTTGGAATGAATCCCACACATTGATCTGTCCATCAAACTGTCAGCCGAGAAGATCCTGTCACTCAGAGTGCAGTTCACGAGACTGCCAGAGTTTTCATCTGAGCAGGGAGGGAGGGAGGGAGGCTGTGTGTGTCAGAGAAGGGAGGTGTGTGTGTGTATGTGTGTGTGAGTTCTCTCTCTCTCTCTCTCTCTCTCTCTCTCTCTCTCTCTCTCCCTCTCTCTCTCTGGAGAGCTTTCCAACTCCAACTGCTCCACAAATGGGTTTCAGAGTGTGAGGTGACCCATGTAGTGCACGAGGGTTGTGACAGTGTGGGTGCATGGTTTTGCAGGGGCCCCAGGGGACTGGGTGGCATATGGGACAGGGCGGCACACTCTGTGTCCACAGAGCAAACAAATACCCTGAATAACAGCACTTGCTTTAATGGAAAGAGAAACAGAAAGGCACATCATCTCATCATATTTTGTTTTTCAGGAGCAGACTTCCAGAGAGACTGGCACACAATAGTTCTGCAGGCTGGTTAAATCACATGAAAAGACAGAGGCAGTCTCTCTCTGAGTGCAGCGGAGCCAGCAGAGATATTTCTGCATTTGTTCCGCCAGCCATAAGAGGCATGAAGGTGTTATTAAGACGTCACAGAGATTTACAGTGTGAGCCTACACAGCGTGTCATTCCTGATGAGGGAGTGTCACCGCTGCTGACAGATGTATGTGGGGGAACAGAGACATTGGGAGAGTTTATTAAAGAAGAGAAAATGCGGGTATTCATTCAACATGCTTATCAAGCCCTTACTCAGTCACACACACACACGCACACTCTTTTCTTTCTCCTGGATGTTCACCAATTTTCCATTTTATACTGTATTGAAATGTTGGTTCCCTAAAGAAATTAAAAACATGTCTGAGAATTCCTGTTGGCTTCAAGTAAATTTAACATTGGACTATGTTTAGTTAGAAGTTGCATCAGAAAGCAAAAAAATAAAATAAATAGAATAAAAAGCCACAGGGTATTCATTAGTGATAATAGGATCTTATATCAACTATGACTTTTAACTGATAGCATCGTTTACTAATGGAAACTCAATTACAACCGTTTTCTAAGGCCAAAGGTCACCAAAAAGCAATAACCGCTGAGCTAATCATCTGTCAGCTTATCAAAGATAAAAACGCTTAGAGGCACAGAAATGGTTAGGATCTTTAAACATACTATTTTCACTTGTGTGTTGAGGTCAAATGACACCACGTTAGCACGCCATTGAAGGACTGTTTGACTGTTGCCAGCTCTGTTACACCCAAAGCGTGGCAATCACTCTCAGGTTTCCTTCAAGATCAGGTTCAAGATAGACTGCACCAGCAGCAGGTGGACTGCAGCGACGCTCACATTACCGAGAGCTTGAATATTTTATCTTGGTATACGGGGCTGTTATTCAAAAAGCAGGAGTCAAAAAGCAGAAGCTGCCGTATGAGAGTGAACTGGATGTAACAGGAAACATGTCTTTCAACTGAGGTTACCAGGGATCAATTCGAACATTAAGATGTTATAATTACCAAAACACAGGTGTCTTTTTTCTGGACTAGCATTTTGTGCACACGTATCAGCTGGAAGTCTACCAATCCAAATAAAAAACAAGCAAAGTTTTCAAGCCAGTGACACACTATTTCCTGTTGAGCCGCTCCTGACAGGCAGCACCAGTGTTTCCTGACATGGAGGCATCTGCAGCTGTGATTCAACATCTGACCACAGTGCCAGGGAGTCCCACCATTCTGTAGTGTTCGAGACTGTGTGGGTGGAAAAGCATTGTTCTGCATCTCCAACCGCTTCCTGCCCAACACTGTCCTTGCCAGAGCCTGGACGCTCCCTTGTGACATGCCCAGGTTTGCCCACTAACATACCCAGAGACAAATCCCTCTCTGGAACGCTGCAGCTCCTCCTGCAGTGTTGCCATGGACCTGGATTAGCAGCGCTGGATCAAAGCTCCCCAGCGGGCTCCAGTCATGGTGTTTCTCCTGAAGGCAGTGATTATGATAAATGTAGGGGCAAAGCATCAGCCTCCTCACTCTATTTTCAAAAATGTTTTTTCCAGTTCAGGTAATGAAATTGCAATTGTATTGCAACTGATGATACAACAACTGCCACATAATGTGATATATGACTCCATGGAAGAGTGTCAGTTTAAAAGACCGTTGATGTAGAAATATGCTCTTCATATGCAATTTAACATTATATATCATGAAATATAACAACAATCAACAATTTACTGATGTTGTAATAACAATTATTACTGATAATGTCAATTGAATTCACAAAA